CTTATAAGGGCGCTCGCCCTCCACAGGCGCAAGGCAGCCGAAGGGCTGCTATCGCCTTCCGAAGCATTTTCCGCACCGCTATGGCTGCGCTGAAAAGGGCATTTTCGGGCTGACTATCACGGATTCCCGCGGGAACTCAATCTTGCAACCCCCTGTTTTTACCAATGCAAATCAAATACTGTTCAAAGTCACTGGCGTTTCCTATAGTTTTGAAGCATATGCAGCCGCTGTTTCGGCTGGTGTGAGTGAAAAGTCGCTGGCAGGGACAATACTTTTGTGAGTTTTCTTCAAAGGATGCATGCTTGCAAACTTGGAATGTTCATGTGGGCGCGCGCGGATTTTCAGAAAATCCGCGCGCGGCAAGATAGCAAAACCAAGAGCCCATTCATGCCAACCACAGTAGAGTTTCGAGTGGAAGAGGTTCCGAAGCAATCTGGCTTCGGAGAACCTCAGGTCTTGAGCGTCAAATGACATAGAACAAATTGGCATGTTTGCTTCTTAGGCAGTTCGTAGAAATACTTGGCGAGTCAGTTGTTTCTGGGGATAACTCGTCGTTCTGGCCAATAAACAGGCGTTTGTGTCGAGAGAGGGGCGCCGTTGTCAGTGCTGATGGTAATCATGTGCAAGAATCAAATTAATTCTGAATCATAGATGGGATAGAGGAAGGAGATATAGAGAGGAGAAATGCATCTCTTTTATCTTTCTTTACAATTATTTTATGCTAGAATTATTATTGATTGGCTCTTCTTGGGATTACTGCTGCCTCATCTATAATCCACTTCTCTACATCATTTCATTTACGTTCTTGTCTTGGTTCCAGAGAATCCTTATGTGTGAGCGAACAAAGGTGAGCGGATTCCTCTTCCCTATCCCTTCGGTCTTTCCAGAAGCTACAAATGAATGGGAAATAAGATGTAGATAGAAAGTCCTTCCATGGAATGCTTTTACTAATCCTGTATCTCTTTCCAGTTCAAAAAGCTCCCGAACAACACACGCAAATACAAGTTTTCGGGATTTGCGGGCGGTTGCGGGTTTTTGCTGGCGTTTTGCGGGCAAACTCAGGTGCGGACACCTGCAACATGCACTGGCGGGCCCCTCACAAAGCCTTGGAAGCAGAAACGCGCAGGTGGCTTTGCATGGCAGGCTGAATGCAGCTGCTTTCGATTCAAGCACCGAAAATCTATCCGTTGCGAGCAAACCTTGCAATCCTAAGCGGTTGTTGTCGTTCATTAAGAAAACATGTCAACTGCAGTTCGAAAGATATTTGTTGCTGTTTGAGGGCCCAGGTAAACTCATTGCTTTTGTTTCATAGTGGCTGACTGAGTTGCTAACTGCTTCATGCATGAAACCTTCAATGATTCTTTCTTTCCTTCTCTTGTCGCGCGTGCGTGTTGATTGATGTCGGTTCAGAAGGTCATGCATTTATTCAATCATGTCATGTTGTGTCATGTCATTTTGTTTCACTGCATCTCAGTTCATTTCACATCAACTTCATCTTGCAGTGTAGGTTTTATCGTTCCCGATGCGCCGTTGACGAATTGGCCTTGCATTTTAGCAGGGTGGCTCGTGGCTTTCATGTTCGATTGAGATATGGGTGTGTCTTGCATTAGGGGCCCATGTGTCGGTTTCTCTTTTGGTTTCCCTTTAAAACTACAAACACAATGGGTTACCAACTCCAAAAAAACGACTGAGCCATCCAGATCTCCGATTCTCCCCGATCCGATGTCCGCGCACTCTCCCGTCTCAACTCCTCCGGCCACATGGAGCTCTGCTCCCAGAAGAAGTTCCGGCACAACAAGTTCACCGTAAAGAGCTCCCCTCGGTTCCGCTTAGGCACACCCCAACTGGCTCAGGCTTCAGGCACACCCCTGGCTCAGGCACCCCACTGGCTCAGGCTTCAGGCACCCACTGGCCCACTGAGGGAACGGGTCTTCATTTCGATTTCATCTTGAGAAATCCCTGCTCCGCTGATCAATATTCCCATGGGTAGCTTATCCCATGGAAAGATATCAGCAAGCGGTTTTGACATGGATGTCTTGCGAGCAATTGTGAAATCCTTGAAAAGTTTGAAGGAGGTGGGTTGTTGGGTTTTTCGGTGTCGGCGAGGCGGAAAAGGAAGCCACACCTGGGAGCTTGAGCAACCAAGCCCTTCTCACTTCCTGAGTGGATGGGCCAAACAAAAAAGCCCGAACTTCTTATTTGCCGCTAAAATGTTACTCCAGAAAAAAAAAGAGGAACAAAAACAACGACAGAAGTCCAGGAATTCAAGAAGAGAGCCTTTCTCAAGAAAAGGAAGGAATGTTACTGATCACCCCTCACCAACGGCCATACGGCGAGACTCATCCAGTGGATCGATTGGCCCGCCAGAAGCGGAACACGTTTTGCTGGCGAGGATCGCACAAAAGACACACCGAGCGTGGGCGACTGGATTGCGGGTGCAAAGCTTAAAAGGGGGATAGATGCAGCTACTACTTTGGCAAAGACCCTATGGCTTCGGCAACGACAAAGCAAACCACGCAAAACAGAACACACTGGCGAGGTGCGGAACGCAAAGTAGCGAATCAGGATCTCGAAGCTAGTCCTTGCTCAAAGTGAGTGATATGGCCATCAGTTCTCCCCTACCCTGCCCACGAAAAAGGGAACTTGACTTGGGATGTGGACACGGGTGTGGACTGTCATCTTGCTCTGAAAGGGACCATTTGGGTTCCATGTTGACTACTTAGGGTTTCAACGCGTGCCAACTCACAAGCCAGACTCGCCTTGCTATCCGAATGGGTGACTAATGCCTCCAAGGCATATTCCTTAGGAAAAGCCACAGAATCAGAAGCTCAAAAGACTCTGTCCAAAGTGGAATGTTGGCCAAGGCTCGTTTCTGATTCGTTTTCTAAACTTACTTATTCTTACCCCTTAAAACTCCAAGCCCTGGGGAAGTTAATCTTTTACAGACATATAGCCCATGTTACCCAAAAAGTTGGAAAGTTGTGTTTTTAAGGGGGAGGAAAATTCCGGGCCGGCGAGTCACGCCAAGGCCTCTGACAGGCGCCGAACCCGCTTGCGTGGGTTTAAACCTGCCACCTGTTCAACCTGGGCGTGGCTTGTTCTGAGGGACCCCCGTTTTGGTGTAAACCAAAACCAAAAGGCAAATCCACTCACTATTCCCCCCCAGCCCTGGAAAAAAAAGACGAGCCACCCACACACCCTCCTGAACACCTTGAAACCCACAAGATCCATATGGTCCTGATGGTACGGACATCCAGCATCCGGAGGCCCCGAAGGGTATAAGGGTGCTGGGACCCTTTTGTTCCAATGATTCACCGAAGAAACCAGGGAACCCCAGCAGTCACCCTGCAGGTAGAAAAGATGTACACTCCTGGTTGGGTTTGACTCCATGTTTAGTGGGTCGAAAGCGCCAAACAGCCATTTTTGGGGTCCCTAAAAGAGACACCTAGATAGGTAAAGCCTTCAACTGCCAGCGAACTGCTTTCACTTGCCTGGTCTCGTGACCCGGACTCTCAAACTAGCTACTGTACTCTCCATGACCCTGTAAAAATGGGTCCATGACCCCAACAATTTTTGGTAACGACCCCATTTTTTAAAGGGTCATGAAGACTCCAGGCACCCATAAACTTGAGTGCGTGCGTTCATTTCATTTGCCACCCGGAGTCCTCGATTCGGGGTATTCCAACCCTTTTCGTTTGCCACTAAAACTCGGTTGCGAAATCTGCTCCCCTGCTAAAAGTGAATAACTTGTAGTGGTTTACTTCGGAAAACCCACGAGTTGTTTCAAAAAGTTAAAGTCCCAACATCCCTTGGCAAAATTTGCGCCAAAGAAAATGTCTTGCCAGAATCTCAAGTCCAGGAACTCAGGGAGTGGGCAGGTCATGGTGATCCAAGCTGTGACCGGTTCCCTTTCGGACCCCCAAGGTGCCACGGTTCAAAGGTGATCCCACACGCAATGGCCGCCTTGACTTGCTGCGGTAGCCAGGGAATGGCAACGAGTCCGGGTTTTGAGAATCACACCACCTGCAGAAATTCCAGGAGAGTGTCGCAAAACCAGAAAGACGCCAAACAGGGCGTCGATTTTGGTCTTACAATCAATTTCAAAAGAGCACCCTCGCAAAAAGGCGCCCGCCATTTGACGTCCCCTCATGGAACACTTGGGAAGGTAAACCCGCTGCCCATCTCACACGGGGGCGGCTGAAGGATTGTGTTATCACGGCCCAGGAAGTTCAGCTGACTAGCGCCAGCTGCCTCTGGCAAGCGCTACGCAGCTTCCATTCCTGTCCGCCTGCGCGGTAAATATGGGAACTGGTTGGGGACGGGCCTAAAGGGAAGCAACATGAAACCTTTTCCAGGGAGTGAATGGCCTCGGCTTGTGCCCAAGTAACTACGAGTTCCCACCGCGACTATCAGCAGCCCAGGCACGCCGGTCGTCCCCACAGAATCCTCGGACGCCATCACAGCTTTAGCTGGGAACGGCTGCAAGTGGCACAGTAAATTACCGACCCACCATGGGCCATGTCCGATGACTGGAAACTATCCATGGATATGAGGTTGTCCAAACTTGTCTGGTAAGGTCGCCAAAAATCGAAATTGCCGGAAGGCGGGTACTGTCTCGATCTCTAAACAAACCCCTCTCAAGATTCTGTCGGCCTTCTTCAGGCAATTCGGGACCCTCTCTGTTCGTCATGCTTCGCAGCTCAAAGGCCTTGCTGCATTCCTCGTGTTTTCCTCAGATTATCCAGCCTCTGGTCGGGTAGCTTCCATTCCGAAAATTCTGCCACCGATTGTTTTCACATGCTTCCACTTGCTTATGCCCCCGAGAAAAAAACACCAGTAGTGATAAATTCCCTTTAAGTCTACATAACACTCGCTGGCTGAGTGGACGACCCAAAACAAGTCCAAACTTTACATTTGCCACTAAACTGGTCCCAAAAAAGTCTAAAGCTCATGAACTCAGGAAGTGAGAACAAGAAAAAATACATAAATATAATAAAAAGTCATCTCAGCCACTGGAAGATCCTAGTTTCGCTGGCCTTCCGGGTGGCCTTCCGCTCCCATCCGCTCCGCGGTTTTAGTCCTCTCCGGGCGGGCGGCTTGGTGAGGGCCTCGGCCTTGATCACCAGGAACTGCGCGGGCTCCATCAGCGTGGCGTAGAAGAGGGAGCTGGGCGACATCTTCATGACCTGCGCGGATCATGAGGGAGAAAAAGAGCCGGCTTGGTCTCAGGGGAGAAAACAATCCGGGGGGGGGAGATGGGGGGATGGAGAGAGCGGGAGAGAGCCGGCTTGGTCTCATGGGAAAAACAATCCGGGGGGGGGGGGGGGAGATGGGGAGAAATGGGGCATAGGAGAAGAGCGTGAAGGGACCAGGAGGGGGAAGAACAGGTGAAATCCACACAAAGCGATATCCACAAAAGGTGAAATCCACAAACTGGGGAAGAACAAATCGGTGAAATCCACAAAAGGACCGACAAAAACCCTTGGAACAAGTTTTTCCAACATAAGGCACAAATCCAAACCGTTTTCTAGATCAATTAGTCCCCTGGTGGTTGTGGTTGTCCAAAAACCGGAAACCCGACAATGCAAGCCTCTGGTAAATGGAAAGGACTGAAAGCCAGCGGTCCAATTCCTGAGTTTGACCCATGGCGTCCTGCTCCTCCCCCCCCCACTTCCAATGGGCCACAATAAGATGCCATAAAGTCTTTGAACTCACCTAACATGATCATGAACTACCATGCTTGTTCCATTGTTCCATTCTTCATATCGCGTTTTCATACTTCTGCCTTAAAACCAGCTCAGCATGATAACGCCTAAACTCTCCATGACCCGAATCCAACATGGGTCCATGACCCCATGATTTTGGGTAACGACCAACCATGTTTTATGGGTCAAGGAGAGACTCCAGGAGGCTCTTTACCAGGAGGCTTCTTAGTCCCGGCGCTTTTTCTCGTCCTTGAGCTGAGGTCCCGGCCCAACCGATGACGACGCAGCCAAAGGAGTGGCCATGCCAGTGCGCAGCGGTGTGTCCGTGAGCCGCCAGCATGTCCTGACGTATGAGCCGGATCCAGCGAGGTTTTGTGGGGAATGCTGAGCTATGTTCCTTGTTTTTACTAGGTCCTCCAGTAGAGAGGTTAGAATAAGGGTACTTTTTGCTGTAGCCTATTTCAATAGAAAAACCCTCCCCCAAAAAAAGGTAAAAGGGCACTACTGGGGGACCTAGTTCATTCAAAGGGTGGTAACCAGCCACTGTCCGTGATTTGATTTTTTATCCCTGGGGTTTTGTAGGTAACCCGTTCAACAAAAGCAATCCATGTGGTTTTCAAAGGGTGGGGGAACCAAGGGCGGGAACCACCCACTATAAAAGCCAAGAAAGAATGCTGAGCTATGTTCCTTGTTTTTACTAGGTCCTCCAGTAGAGAGGTTAGAATAAGGGTACTTTTTGCTGTAGCCTATTTCAATAGAAAAACCCTCCCCCAAAAAAAGGTAAAAGGGTACTACTGGGGGACCTAGTTCATTCAAAGGGTGGTAACCAGCCACTGTCCGTGATTTGATTTTTTATCCCTGGGGTTTTGTAGGTAACCCGTTGAACAAAAACAATCCATGTGGTTTTCAAAGGGTGGGGGAACCAAGGGCGGGAACCACCCACTATAAAAGCCAAGAAAGAAATTAACAATGGGTTACTCATTTGGATAACTGCCTGCACTGAGAAAATGAACGAACATGAGCTTCCCATGCTTTTTAGTTGGCTCCTGCGGTTCCCATTGCTTCAGCTTTCCAAGCGGACGGCTTCGAATCCATAAAGCAACCAAGGCTTACCTGAGATGAGGGCGGGTGGTTTGTTTCTGCGGGACCTCACTGGTGGTGTGGGTATGTGTTGAATTCATAAAACAACAGCGCACACACACACACACAGCAAAGATGCGCTTCCAAAGCTTTGGGTGCGAAAAAGATCGCGGGTCAAAACCCCCTTTGTGTTTTGTGTAGGTTAAAAAAGAAAGAAAGGTTGATATTCAGTTTCCCTAAAAGACCTCTCACACCCCTGATTTGCCCACCACAATCACCACAAGCACCCCCCCTGCCCCCACCACAACCACCAAAAGCACCAAAAGCACCCCCCCCACCCCCACCACAATCACCACAAGCACCCCCCCCACCCCCACCCCAATCACCACAAGCACCCCCCCCCCACCCCCACCACAACCACCAAAAGCACCAAAAGCAAAACTCCCCGCCTGCAGTTGCGCCACCACCTCCCGGGCGCTGGGCACGCTCTCCCAGGGCGCCATCGCCAGGAAGGGGAACTCCGGCACAAAGAGCTCCCCACCTCAGCAGCGCGTCCCGCGTCGATCCGTGGCCCCGGGTTTCTTCGGCGGAAGGAGAAAAAAACGACGGAGCCCATGCCCAAAACCGGGGAAAGACAGAAAGAGGCCAAGAAAGAACCAGGGTGAACTGAACAAAGCTATAACAAACTTTTCAAATACGAAACCGACTAAGAACCAAATGACCCACAAAAGCGAAACCAAAGAAAGAAACACGCCAACCCAAACACCGTGTATTGCCTTCCCAACAAGAAAGCCGATGGCAACAGGGAGCTCCGACGAAGTCTTCCCCAGATCTGGGCACATGCAGTCAAGTCACAAAACAAGGTCCCATAAAGTCCCTCCGCCCAAAAACGACCGCCAAGTGATTGGGTACCTCGTGCTTGCCGCGTTTTGGTCAGGAGTAATAGCTTTGCAAGGCACAAGGTGCTGAGCGGACTCCAAGCTAAGAGCCGGGCTGTGTCTACTGGCCAGCCGGTAGATGAACTGGAAGTACGGCACCTTTCCAAAAGTCGCTGGGACCACCTTTTGATGGTTCACCAACCGGACAGAGCCATAAAATATCCCTACGGAACCTTCATGTTGGGCGTATGGGGGGAATTCAAGTTGAAATGGCGCTCCTGAAAATGTGAGGCAAACCACCCCCACAAGCCACAAATTCAGAAACTCCGGAAATTGGTGCGGAGCCCATTTGCAGCGTTTTCCCCCCGTGTTTTTTTCTTTTTTCCTGGACTTCTTGGCCGACTCTTGCGGCGGCCAAGCAAAGCGTCGCGCGCAAAGCGCCGCGAGCGAGCGGCCAGGCCCACTCCCAGGCCATGGACGAAGACGAGCGGGACTTGCCTGCGCGCAACACCCTGCTTTGACGGATCATGTTCTCGGTTGCGAAATCTGCTCCCCTGCTAGAAGTGAATAACCTTTAGTGGTTTGATGGAAAAACCCATTCGCATATTTCGTTGAGTTTGGGGCCGAAATTTTTCGTTGGCAAAAAGCTAAAGTCCCAACATCCCTTGGCAACCTGCACCAAAGAAAAGTCACCGGGTTTGAGGCGCTGGCTTCTAAACTCCGAATGTGACGCCGGTTTCCCTAAGCCAGCCCAACACAGGCCTCCCAAAAGAACGGTGTGACACCTCACCTTTCTTTCCGGTGCTACTGGGTTCCTGATGGTTCCTACACATCACCTGTTGATCTGTTGTCTTTGGGGGCCAAAAGACCTGTGCCAATGTTTCGAACCATCTTGCATCCTCATACTATCACTGCAACGCACTTAAATTCGTTTTGCCAGCCATCAAAAGCGAGACGAAAAAACAAACAACTGCTTCTAGGACAAGACCAAGGGGATTTTGGACATGGGAAGAAGCTGGCATCGTTTGAACCCTCTTGCCTATCACAACGGTCAATCAATTTGCTAATTGGGGTTTTGGGCTGATGGGAACCTAGGGGGCGTCACCCACAACATTCCCACCAAAAGGGGACACCCTATTAATCAACTTCACAATTTGGCTTTTGGGGGCGAAATTTGGGGATTTTAGCTCACTTGCTCACTTGCCCGAAGAACCTGGAAATAACCGGCGAGGACCTTTTGGGGCAACTAAAAAGCGACCAAACATGGTGGGTCTTTGTTTTAAAAATATGAGGGTACCCTTTTTGGATATAGCCTTACAAATGGGTGATTGTCCCGGAATTCGGGGCAAACTCCTTGTTTTTTGTAGTTTGGGCATGATCGAGATAGACCCAGCTATACAATGCATATGTTCATTGTTTGCTTCACTTTGAGCCACTAAGATGAACAAAAATGTATCCTAAAGCTACCCCACAAAATACGGAACCCTGTTTGAATAGCGTTGAAGGGAAACCAACAAGACACCAACAAGACACCAACAAACTCGCATTTTTTTGGATCTATGAATGGCTGCGGCTGGGACGAGCCCGTTGAGAAGGGGGCCTCGGTTTCCAAGACCCAAAGGGCATCCAACTGGTCGCCTGAGCGCCAAGCGCCCATTAGGTCCCCCAGTAGAGAGGTTAGAACTAGGGCACCCCTTTTTCGGTAGTCTATTTTAGTAGGGGAACCCCAAAACGCTTTGGTAAAAGGGCACCACTAAGAAATACAAAACCTAGATTGGGTTGAGACCCCCAGCCTGGGCGCTGCCAGGTCCGTTTCCGGGTCCACCTGGCGCTTGCGGCGCTTCCAGTAGCACAGCCCCCCGGCGCGCTCACGGTGGAAGCCCAGCCTCGGACCGTTTGGCACCGAAGGAACTTCTGGGACCATCGATTGGCTTAAAGTTGGATCACTGCCATATGGATTTGTTGAAGCCATCCTTTTTGAGGGGGTAGCTGGATTGTAAAGCAAGCCCTCGTCTCCAAGGGTGAAACCACTGGCCATTTCAAAACATCATTTGTTTTATCCGTGTTGTGGCTGAAAAAGGGACCTTGGGTGTCTTGTTTTGTTTTTCTAGGGGTACCTTCGGTTTTCATTCTTTCAAGGAATCCTGCTTTGTAGAGAACCTCAAGGAACGCATGGGAAATGGCTGGCTTTTGAAAAAAGAACGGAATGGGAACCCGGATTCATAGACCATCTCTGAAATCTCTAGGGAGGAGGGGGGGAAATGTTGTCCCAGCCGGAGGGTCGGGGTCGGGATACCTAGGACCTGCAATGGCCTCTCCTTGCCGATGTGCGCCCAAATGAATATGGGGGTGTCCATTCCTGGTTTTAGTGGGGATTCAGGCCACTCTTGAAGCACCCCACAAGTAAACAAACAGGGGTTTATTATTCCGGGGTCGGCATGAATTGGTACCCAAAATGGCGCAAACAATGGAAAAGACAAAAACCTGTGGTTTGCCTTAGCTCTTTCCGTTCAAGCCATGTCCATGTGGTTGGCTCGATGTTTTGTTCTTCCCAACATGCATTTCGGTGTTGCAGTTGGTTCCCGGATAAAACTAAGCAAATCGGGGCACCAACGCCAAAAAAGGCAAGCCCACGTGGTTTTTCACTTAGGAGGTCAACTTGTCACCAGCTGATCCAGACGATTTCTTTGCAAAGGAAGGTGGCTTTGCAAAATGTGCGCTTGGTCTAAGGAAGACCTTAGGACCTTGTCTCGCGCTGGACTGGTGAAGCAGAACTTCACTAGAAGGCTAGAAGGGCCATCTATGTTCAGCCAAAATGGAGCTTAAACGTCCATTTGCCTAAGTCCCCTGAACACAAACCAGTAGTGATCGTTTTTCTCCAGCGGGGAACCCAAATGTTAACCCGTAGGGCACCACCACCAAAATAACCGCTATCATCCGTCATAAGGATTGGGTGGTTTCCTTTGGTCCGAACAGCTTGAAGCCAACAGGAATTAGCTCATCTAACACGAAGCCGGTCCAAAACGCGTCCAATGCTTAAGCCGGCTTTAAAGGAATCTCCCAGGATGCCACCGTATCCAGCTGACCCTGCAGCCACCCCCCCCCCCCCCATACTCCACCAATTGTGGCGGTGGCCGAGGCTAACTCAAAGGTCACGAGAACCGGACATGCGGTGATGCAGGCAAATTCCCGAATGCGCCAGCCACGTGAGTAAGAGAACCTGGCTAATCACTTCCCCGAATAATAAATAACCCCCTTAAAAAGAAAAAGACACATTCTTGGGGCCGGAACGATCATAGGGCAATTGTGGTCTACGGTTCTCGTCCAAACGGGGTCCCGTCTTTCCGGGCCCAAAAATAATTCAAAATTGCAATTTCCAAATAAGCAAAGTTGAATAGCAGAAACCAAGGTACTGTGTCGGATTTGTGCTGCTGTGGAATTGCTTTAAGCATTGGTTTAGTATCGGTTTAGCACTTAGGTTTCGTATTGGCTTGGTACTTAGCATTGTTAACCTATTCTAAAAGTAGAGTTGGGGACCCGGCCGTCTGGGGAAAACGATACTTCTGAACACGGTGATATTTGTTTAATGGGGGGAAGTGTTCTCAAGGGTCCTCCCTTACACAGATATTTTCTTGAGGATATATACATCCCAAAATCACACGCTTCACAAGGGCATCCTCTATATCAACTGCTAAGGGTGGTTCTTTCAGTGACTCATAAATCTATTCTGTACGGGATCTCGTGCGGCTGTCCCAGTGCAAGGCGGGTCCAATCAAAACCACAGAGGTCAAAGCAGACTGCTGCCGAGGGACCACTGCATCACCTGCGAACGCTTCAGCTTCCAACTGGTTGTCAGGCTTTTGTCGGGGCCATTTTGCGCTGGTTTGCAGCTGGAACCTACACGGATTCCCCAAAACAAGGCGCGGGGTTGGCCACCCAAACAGCAAGGACAAGCGACATCCGTCCATCCACCCATTCATCCATCCAGTCACCTGGCTGAAAACCAATGGTACCATTTTGGGGTAGGTGCACCACCCCATTTTAGGCTATTTTAGTGGGGATTGGGATGTTCACTGGGGTTACTGGATTTTGACCCATGGCCATCTGCCATATGAAACGCATCGTACCGATGTTTACTCTTTTGCACTGCCTTTGGGGAACAAAGCATCAACTCAAAGGGTACCAAGGAAACCCTCAAAGTGTTGCTGCAACACGTGACCAAATGACACCTTCCAAGCCCAAAAACCGTGAACTCGAAAGCTACTTGGCTCCGAGGATCTGTGGAGGGACTGCTTTTGTGGCGCTAGGTCAGCTGTAGAAGCAGCTGAGAAGAGACAAAAGGGAAAACCCAGGGGTAAATCCAAATCCAAAACAATCCAAACCACCAACAAAGGGCAACCATATTTTTGTTGGCGCCGGCCTTGTACGACACCAACGGGCACAGCAAAGACGTGCCGGCGTAGACCAGCAGAGGTCGGTGCACCACCGGCAAGGGGTCCTTCCGCGGGCTTTGGCGCAGACACACACACAGACGCGGGCACAGAGACACACACTCACACACACAACACACACAAACAAACACAAACACAAACACGCAAACAAACACAAACACAAACACGCAAACAAACACAAACACAAACACGCAAACAAACACAGACACAAGCGCAAACAAACACAGACACAAGCGCAAACAAACACAGACGCACACGCAAACACGATGACGCACAGACACGCTCACACACGCACACGCACACGCACACGCACACGCGCACACACACACACACACCTCGTGCACTTGAAAACGCAGGGACTCCAGTCTGGACTCTTCGGCAGGCTTGGGACTTCCAAGATGCCCTCTTAAGGTGAGTTGCTCTCTGCAAGACGTTTCTCACTTTTGGCGGGTTCAATGAGAGTCTAAAGTTCGAACCCAAGAGCAATCAAATTGAGGTCAGGTTCCTGTAGACCACCGCCCAATTTTGGGGGAAATTCTCCATACGAAGACATGACACGGCCAACCTCCCACGCTTCGGAAATGCTGCCGAGGCTCCGAGAAGATGCGGAAGGCACGCACAGCTGGGTTCCGGCCCTGGCCGGCCACTCTGGACTCCGCTTTGGACTCCGCTTCGACGGGTGAATTTCGGCAATTGGACATGTTACGAAGAAACGCACCAACAGGCTTAATTAACCTCAGGTTTGCCAAGGCACCGGGAGAGAAGAACACCATCAAAACCTCACTGAGCGACATGACTAATTAAACACGACGCTCTGAAACAAGCACAAACAGCAACTCTCCTGGGAGGAGGACTGTGCGAATTGCCTTTCCACTGGCGCAACAACTTTGTTGAGAGGCCTTACCAATGACGGGATCTTCACAGGGGGCAGGTCCATCGCATCGTAGTGGACACATCCCCTTCCCTCAACCCTTTGGAGAACAACGCTGAGCGTACTGGAGAGTACCGAAGGCCCCCCGAAATCATACCTTGCTAGCAAACACCGCGTTGAATGCTTGCTACGGGGCGGCGGTACGTGTGTCGTACAATCAGCGATCTGGGTCGTCATGGCCATTTGAGCCCATGTCTGCATGGGTCCATAGCCCTATGGGTCCATACCATCAATTGTCTGAGCTCTTCTCCTTCAGCCACACCCCACAAACCCAAGAAGCTTCAGACCCATATCTCTTTCAAGTTACAAAACCAACCTGGCCCTGTCCACACTATGCAACAAACGCAGCATGTGAACCAATCTGAATGGGGGTACTTGAGAGACGAGTTGTCTTTGCATTGCGCCAGCCAGCTGTCCAATTGGGTATGTGTCAAATTGGGGGTGTGGACCCCATGGGGTTCTCCTTTTGGTTTCCCTTGAAGCCTGCCCGACTTCCATTTGCTTACACCCCCTGGAAAGAAACAACACATCTTTCCAATAGTGATAAACATCCTTTAAACCCAACCAAGCAAAGCAACACCACACAAAACCATCTTAAGCAACTGGAAGCGGCAAAAAGGTGGCCAGAACCACAAAACCATTTTAAGCAACTCAAAGGGGGCGGCCTCCACCAAAAAAAAGAACACCACCCCTCCTCCGCCATCTTCTGCAAGCCCGCGGTGTGCAGCACCAAGTCCACCAGCTTTCGAAGCTCCTCCGCGCTCGCGGGGCGCGCGGGACCGGGCGCGGGGGAGCTCAGGCGAGCGCCCGGCGGGAGAGGTGCCTCCAGTCCGGGTTGTCTAGGGATAGGACCCAACTACCTTACAAAAGGGGGGGGTAGGGGTTTTAGGGGGAGGGGGGGGTACAGGCATTCATAAGTGGAGGTGCCTCCAGTCGAACTTGCTAACCACCCAGCACTGGAACTGGAAAGAATTGGATCTTCTGAAAGGACCATGTGTCATCTCGTGTTGCCTCACAGGCGAATCACAGGAATATACGGATCCACAGCGGCCAGTGTGCTCACAGAGAAGTGACTCAATCAATGCACTACCATGGAAATTACCGCGCATCAAACAGGTGGTCTGAAAAATAAATCAAGGTGTGGAGATGCGAGTCTCAGATTGATTTCCATTCGGATCTTTGCGGGAGAAAGACACCCGCCAATCAAGATCTAGCAGGCCGGTTTATTTGACCATATGCCCCGTGGTGGAACCCTAAGTCGAGCTTTAATTTCTGGGGATGGGTCACGTTAGCTGGCATGACATCATGAGGCAAACCACTATATTCTCTACATGGCTTCCGTCCGAAATCCCCTTGGTGCTGTCCAAGAATCAGTGGTTGGGGTGTTGGCCCTTGTAATCCCAAGCCTTTTTTTTGCGCAAGGACCGAGGCGTTCGGTCCTGATACTGCTGAGGACTATCCTCCAAAAGCTCCTCCGGGGTGGCACCGCGGAACCAGTAGTGCGCAATCCAGTCCTGTCGGATGTCTGCACTCATTCGGGTGTCTAGTTTGTTGGATTTTTGGGGGACCCACTAAAATCGTTTTGGGTTTCCCGCGCAAGACATGAAGTCACATTGGCCCACATGCTCTGGCAATGAAGGTGCCAACATTATCTAGAATCCTTCAAGGTGCCTGCGCCTTCGAGTGCTTCCCAATACCCACCCACCCCAGAACCAGGAAGAACATCAGAGACATGGAGACCATTGCACGCAAGACACACTCAAAGACTTGGCTTGCCCAACAAGGAGGCCACGCACCAAACAACTGTTGGACGGTGCAGTGAACACAAGTAAACACTGACCTCGATTCATAACTAACTTTAGTAGGAAAACACCCGATTTTCAAAGTCAAGCATGCTGGACATGCAAACACACACACAACACACATGTGCTCCTTTCTGCTTTGTATTGATGACATGTTGCATCACCATGGTGCATCAAGCTCGCCAGCGTATCAAACCGGCTCGACGTGTCAAGTGCTGGGAGGGGGGAATGCAGCTTGCTTCACATTCTGAAGAAGTCTGGTCAAAATAATTCCAAGGGGAACCCCTCCCTGGCAGGTCCTTTCCCTCCGAAACCCGCGGGACATCACCACCATTCTGCATATGAATCTTGTGATTATCAAGTTGAACCTTGGACACAAAAATGGAAGGGGAGCCTCTCCTCAGTAGCAAATAGTTTCCCTCCACCCGTGCAACATCACCATCCGGTGTAGCATATGGATCTTGAAACCTGGACATGAGTCACAATCAAAACCCGGTACTAAAATGGCCCAGAACCATGCTTCAGGAATTAAGAAGGCGGATATCCGCAGCTTTTTCTGGCAAGGGGATTGTCCCTTACCAACCTTCTACCCGAATCGGTTTTGAGCACGTGGCTCACATTCGCTTCACTTCCCCAGTTCTCTCCGCTCGTTGCCTTCACGTTGTCGCGCCGCAGCCAGCTCATGATGTCGTCCGCGTCCCCGCGCCCGGGCCCGCAGTAGAAAGTGGCGAGCTCATGCCACCGCAGCCTGAACAGCGCGGCTGCAGAAATCGCCCCAACCGCTGCGCGGTTTAGGGGGTAGCGTGTGGGTGTGAAATAGATATATGTCTATATAAATGCATATCTATATGTATGTATATATATATACATATATATATATATATATTTATTTATCATGCAGTCAGCCATGCCATGCAGATTTCCGAAAAATTGTTCTTTGCATACATGGAACGGGCAACTATTATGATGCAGAAACCAATGCTGAGACATGTGATCCAACTTGTAGACGGACTTAACACCACTGTTGTAAACACCGCAATTCCCTGCGCAAAGCCTGGGCATTGGAAAAGTTCGAGCTTGAGGAGTGCCGGCCTTAAATCTTCTCCCGCGGCCTATTGAACCAGTGCAGGGGACAAGCGCAATGCTCACCTGGGCTGCCCTCAGATCCCCTAAAAGTTTGACTTTGAGTGGGTTGAATGGAAACTACCACTAAACACTAGAAGGCTAAAAAGCCAAAGGGATGGCTGGGAGCCACAACGTGTCAGTGGCCCAACTCGATTTCCATCTGCAGCACGGAAAAAGACGGAAATCGGGCGGGGGGGGGGCGGGCAAAGGAAGACGCGCAGGCAGCCAGCATCTCCAGCCAGCATCTCCAACTACCAACCTGACTGAAGATTGCTTTCCGTCATTTTCCAATAATGCTTAAAATGCTGAATGAAGAATTGGATCCCCAAGGATCTTTATCATGGCTTTCGCTCGTTATCCCCCGAATCGGTGAGCTCGCTATAGGCAGATCGCCCTTGCGGAATTGCTAGGCTCAAGCTCCTTCATTCTGGACGAAATCCACGCCAGCGTGGATGAAACGTGATTTTAACAAGGAACAAACCAAACATCTACAAGATTTCGTCTTTCAGTGTGTCATGGGGGGTCAAAATTAGACCCCCAGGAATTGGACCGCAGGTCTTAGTTTCCTTTCCTTTTACCATAGTCCTTTCCTGAAAACCAGGACCCATCTTGGGTAGCCTCTGGTCTAATAACATGCATGGAACGTCCTGGAAGACCATTTCGACTATACCATTTTCCTTTGACAGGGATCCTAACATTATACACCTGAACATTGCCTTGTAAATGGTGGGTGCCCTTTATTTTGGTGGAAAAAGCCATGTTTCAAATGGGCAAAGTGTATCTTTTAAGGAGCCCTGTTTAAAATGGACCATTTCTCCAGTGGGTTCCATGTGAGTGGGAGGAAAGTCGAGGCCCATGTGTTTCCCGCCTCTGCAGCTCTTGCTCCAGGTTCCCGTTGGATCCTTCGATGTGCTTCCTGAAACGCTTTCGCTTCGCTTCCCCCGCAACTTTCAGGAAAACTCGCCCTACGTTGCTTTCCCCCCCAAAAAAATGGCGAGGAAGAACGGGTGGATTGGTCAAACAAAAAGAACAATCAAACTTGTTCTTTCCCCCCCCCCAAAAAAAAAGCCTTCCAAAAAGTACCTAAAGTCTGAAAAGGAACTCGAGGTTGACGTGAGGCACCCAAAAACCCGCGTTGCCCAGTTGTCGGTTTAAGCCTTGTGGTCCTGATGTCCATCTCAAACGGGTGGCTCGTCTAATTTTTTGATGGTGCCATTTTGGGGGGTGGCGTTGAAGGGAAACAAAAGGAAAAAGAACCACCCATCTTCAGGGTTCCCTATTTTGAGACAACCCCCCAAATGTGGCAATTTTCAACGGGGGCCCAAGCCACCTCACTGTCACTTTGAATGTCATGACATCTTCCGCGTTCAAAAATGTGTATTATTGGTGACAGGGAGTACTACCTTAGCTTTGAACGCAACTATCACTGACATGTTCATAAAATGAATCAGTGAACCTCAACATGCCAGAATGTCTTGTGTTAGTGTGATCCCTTGGTAAACCTAGGATGGCATCATCTGAGAGCTACCTACCTATGCCCGAAAGCTCTCTTCTTTCCCATCCCCGAACTTGAAGACATCTCCGGCTCAACCGGGCCGTGAGAAGACTAGCGTGTTGAAATCTCAGTCAGCCACATCTCCTTTGTTTCCGAAACTGACAACACGCGCGGCTAGAAAGGTGTGTCAAAAGCATGGACTCCCCCAAATCACATGGTGCCAAAAGCAAGAAACAGCAAACAAAACCCAACATCTTCGTATTGGACACGGGCTCAAAATCGAAAATTGAGTCTGCTCAAGGGTCATCGAGGACATCGGTTTTGGAGGTCATTGGTTTACACAATACCCATGCACAATCCCCTCGCCTAGACGTCCCTCCCACCAACTAACCTCGGTTGCTTTCTGCTCCCCTGCTAAAAGTTTAACTTCTAGTGGTTTAATGGAAAACTCAATTAGTTGGCAAGAGGTTAAAGTCCTGACATCCCTTGGCAACATGCACCAAAGTAACATGGAACCTGACAGGAGGTCCCTTTAACAAGAAAGTGGTCTGCCAGCACCCCCCCCCCCAAACGTCTGGTTCCATGTTCATTGCTGAGAGGGTGATTCATCGTCCCAACCATCGGCAAACTCAACAATGAATGCAAAATCCAAAATCCAAACCCCGGAGGGAGCAAACAAAAACACGAGGAAGGGACCTCCATCGTTACTCGTTTTGCTTCCGTTCGTGGGACGTGTTTCTTGGACCAGACCCCATGCCTGTGATACATTCGGGTCCCCCAACTCAGTTGCCCCCTTAGCCTCGACATGCCTCGACGAAGTATGGATTCTACCTTGAGAAAATATGTAACTCAATCTGGAGCCAAATGTGGTTCAACCTTTTATAACATCGGGAAATCAACAGCTCAGATCCCACCGATTCGCAGTGAACCAAGTTTTTGCCCACAAGGTCGAAGGTTGGCTTGTTCAAGAAGCCCGGGTGACCGCTGCATCCCATTTGTGGCTCTTCCGCTCTTGCGCCATATCTAAAAAAGAAGGCCAGTCGCTTCCCAGGGAGAACGTCTAGAGGCTATTCCCATTTCAAGCCTAAGGACCTCAAGAAAAACACCTGGTTGGGATGCTCTCCCTGAGCAAATGGTTCTATCCTTGGCTTGGAAAGCAAATTGAGTCCAAAAGGTCTCAGTCATCTGATGGCGCCAAAGCCACAATGGTACCATCTTGAGATGGTAACCCTACACTGCGACATCGCAACCAGCCCTCCAATCGCAGAAAGCCGAGCAGCAGAAGATCCTCGACGCTTTCTTCCTGCCTAAGAGGTTGCTAGCACGCAAAACACACCGATCCTAGTTTTGGCTCAGCTTGGCCGAGACTTCCCCAATCGTGTGCTTGTGTGTTTGTGTGTGTGTGTGTTGGGTGGTGGTGTTTGGGGGTATGCAATGGGTGCGTTGCTCCAAGTGAATGTCCTGCTGAGTGCACAAGTTTAGTTTTTGGTGGACATGAGCTCAAGGCAAATATCCGGAAAAATTGCAAATTCCCGATTTGTTTTCCCAGAAGCCAAACTTGCTGGAGGTTGTCCTTCTCAGTTGCCCAATGGACACATGGGCCAAACAGGGGAAGACCGTAAGGGGTCATGGACGTCGGTCAATTTTTTGTTGGAGTAGCAAACCAAAAGGAAAGCCACCATTTTGAGGTTTGTGGTTTTGGGGGCCCGGGGGGAAGCAAAAGAAGAGGTATAGCTCGGTTTTTCTTGGACGCAGGGCAAGGGCCCTGGACGTCGAGGGCCAGTTTTCGGCTTCAAGCATCCTGGCTCTCTTTGCTCGAGCTTCCGAGCTTCCGCCCACCCGTCCGAACATGTTCAGCGGACACCGGCACACAAATATTTGAAGAGCCAGCCCATGGATGGGTGGGCTGCTGGAAAAATAGATGGGTTTCCCTGATATAGTGTAAAACAACCAGGGCGATATACTTTCTTCCAAAACCCTGGAGCTTTCAAGCAATAATTGAAACAACCAGCCGTGTTTGCTGGGTTTCCGGAGGTTTGCTAGAAAGAAGAATGCCTAAAAAAAATGGAAATGGAATGCACGAATAGAAAAACAACACAAAAGACACCTAAGGTCCCTGTTGTCGTGAAAATCCTGATAACAAAATGAGCCTAAACGCCTTCGACCCCTTCTTGGGGTCCACGAACTTTCAGATTGCAAGGGGTGCCACAGTCAACACGGCCACAGTTTGAATATTGAACAAGTCCTCAAATGCCCAGTGACCATCGGCAAACAAAGGGCAACCTTTTTTGGTTGGTTAAGTTTAAAAAGGGAACCCTTCCCCAAAACAAAGAGACAAAAGGGCGGAACCCGCTGGGCAACTGGGGAGTCCTAGAATTTGTTGAAGAAAAGCCCAAGCGAGTTGTTGGAAAAGCCCAGGGCCAGAAACCTTGAAAAGCTCAGAGTGTCCCTCCCATCGAATTTGGTCGCTGGTAATCCCGACCTTTTGCGTGGCAACCTGAATTGGCCTATCCAACAGGCGTAGCTAAAACACGGGATTGACGGGGGAATGGCCCCAGCACTATAAAGGCACCCCTGAAAAGAGAAACACCCAAATATCCCTGTGTTCTGGTCGCAGAAGGGAACCAATTGTTGCGGGGTTGACCATTTGTGCAGAAAGCCACCCAACAAAAAGAAAAGGAAACAGGCTAGGGAGCCCTTTGCTATGTTCCTTTTGGTGTTTACATCCGCCCTTGGTTACCATGAACTGCTCACTTCCTGACTGAGTGCACGGCCCAAAAACCAAGTACCCAAACTTGTTCTTTGCCACTAAAAACTGATCCAAACCCAAAAACGATTAGTGTCCGAGTCACGTCTGGATCCACTGGCTGGGACTGATCAAATGCTCACATTGAGTGGACAAGTCTGAATATGTTCTTTACCACTGGTGTTGACCCCATACTCATCAACCGCTCTGTATCAATGGGGGGCTTGCCCGCCCCCCCTATTAATAAACAGGGGGTGAATAGTATGGGCTCAACATTACAATGATCCAAAATCAATTGTAGGAAGCCAGCTATTTCCCTACTGGTTTTCAAAGGGTGGGTTCTTTTGGTTACCTACAAAACCAGGTAAATGGATGAACTGGGTACCACCTAATGTCCCCTGAAACAAAAAAATCCAACAGTGACAGATTCCCTTCAGAAACACCCAAGGGGAAAGCAACAAGACCGCCAAACCTCCAAAACCAGGTAAATGGATCCCTGTGTACCATTAAAATTTGATCCAAACCTCCGGAAAAATCCAGTAGTGATAAATTCCCGCCAAAACCAACAGACCAAACACAAATGCGCCAAACCTCCAAGCCTCCCCCTAGGTCCTCCACTAGAGAGGTTAGAATAAGGGTACCCTTTTTTCTTTTTAGTCTATTTGAGTAGGGGAACCGAATCTCCCAAAAAAGAAACGGTCAAAGAAACGGCACCATTCGCTGGGGGGACCACCCTGACCTTGAGAGGAACGCCTCAAAAGAGGCCCATTGCCTGAGTACCTGGGCCCCCGAAACCTCCCGACAATCTGACCCTTCATTTGCTTGAGCCCCCCCTGGAACAAAAAGTGGCGAAATCGAAAATGTTGAGGATCAAAAAAAATGTAGATATATATATATATATATATTATACAAATATATGTACCAGTCCCTGGGCCGGGGGCCGCGCTTGTTGGACACTTGCAGCTTGCCGCTCGTGGCGTGAAGGTGCAGTCCAGGCTCTCGCAGTCCAGCGGGCCCGTGGAGGCCGCCCCACTGTCAGCGTGGCGCCCGAGCGCACCGGTGGCTGAAGCTCGCCGCGGTTGTGCGCCAGAGGCTTGGCCGTGTGTTGATGGTCAACGTGCTGCCCGTGATTCCTGTGGCGGAGCACACGGCCCCTGTGGACGACAGCGTGGCTCCGGCGAGGTGCCGGTGGCCGTGAGCGCTGCGCAGGAGACTGCGCCCGAGGCGTCCACGCCCGTCGTGAACACGTCAGTGCAGTTCACGTCGTTGCACACGTACCCCCCCCAATGGTATGGTCCCCCCACTCCCCCGCATCGTCTGCATCTGGGATGATGCTGGCAATGCTGGGGATGCTGTCCAGTACCGTGTGAGAAGCCTAAATCAACCCAAACCCCAAACCCACCCGAAACCCACCGCAAACCAACCCTGAACCAACCCTAAACCAACCCACCAAGCCTAAACCAACTCCGAACCACACCCCAACCACCCAACCACCCCACCACCCCACCACCCCACCACCCCACCACCCCACCACCCCACCACCCCACCACCCCAAGGGGGGGGGGGGTTTGGGGGGAGGAGGGGGGGTTCACGGCCTGGAACATATATATATATATATATATATATATACATATATATGTTTTTTTCTTAAAAACAAAGTGGTGAAAAATCGATTCCCGACCTGGTCCCAAGTCTCCCGAGCAAGTCCGAGGCGCTTCACCGCGCTGAGCCCCAGGAAGCTGCTGGTCCGCGCCAGTGCGGAGCTGGAGGCGCTCGCCCGCATCGATCCGCTCGCCAAGGTGCGGGCAATGGGCGCCTCACGGGGAAGAAAAAGCCCCGGTGTTCCTTAGGGTTCCTGTTTTCTTTTGGGGCTCCTTTTGGGTGTTTTTTTGGGGGGTCCTTTTGGGGTTCCTTTTACGGTTCCTTAGGGTTCCTTTTGTTTGATTTTTTTTAGTTTTGCTTTTTGTGTTTTTTGGGGTTCCTTCGGGTTCTCGTAGGGTTGCTTGGGGGTAGAACGCTCGTTTTCACAGGGCCCCAGGGTTCCTTTGAGTTATTGGGGTCGGGTTCCTTAGGGTGTTTCAGGGTTCCCCAAGCAGGTTTAGCAGGGGTCCCTCAATCTTTCCGTGGGGAAAAAACGGGCGCCCTGCTTTTTGGTCAAACGGGCAGAACAAGGAAAAGGCAGCAAGGGGTGGGGAAACCATGTTTGGAGGAACACTTGGACTGACAAACATTGTTGTGTGCTGTACAACAAGTAGGCATAAGGAATGGGCAAAACACATATGCATCCCCTTTTGTGTTTGATTGACAAACGTAAACATGATTGGCGGCTTGTACTTATGCTAGAAGTGCCGGGGCTGTGGGACCCGTATCAAGATGGAAACCCAAACTTGAGAAGGTTCGCTTCGAAGAAATTCCCTCTGGCCGTTCTGGCGGCCATCGAAGCTTTGAATGACCGGCTGAGAGCTTCACTTGAAACGTGAAAGTACCCTCTTTCCAAGAATCATGGACATGGAGGTTCCCCAAAAGGAAAGTAGTCTTCCAAAACGGCCCGGTCAGCATCGATGAAGGTTGGAGGGAGATAAACTTGATCTCCTGCAGGAAGTTGGATGGCTATCACAAGCGACGCCTTCAGGAATTCTCACCATCACATGTGCGACCCAGACCCGAATGGGGGATTTAGAGATTGGGCATGGCAATAGACCGAAGCTTTCTGGCCACTCGAACAGACTTCGCATCCCCCCAAAAAGGACCCAGACTTCAAGGAGAGACGGGGGACAAAACACACCCCCTCCAACCAACATACCCCCCAAAGCAACGAATCGCAGAATGCTCTGATCAAATTGTCGAAGAACAACATGTTGCTTGATCTCCACTCTCAAGAGACTATCAAGCTATCCCAGTGGATCCCAGTTACCTACTCAGCTATTTCCCTTTCCTTGTACATCAAGAACCCGGAAAAAAGGAGGTTCTGGCAAATAATCTGCTTTTCGATTCCAAAACCTGATTTTCGGACACTGCTGTGTTTCAGATTACGGGTTCTTACGGGTTAATTACGGGTTTTGTACAGGTTAATTACGGCTTTTTGCGGGTTCTGAAATACAAAACCTGGTTTTGGGAACCAAAACCCGGTTTTGAAGGCTATATGGCCAGAAAACCAGGTTTTCGAGACAGATCCTTCTTTTTGAGGGTTTTTGATTTACAAGGTTGGTCGCAATGGAGTATGAGTTGGCTCTTTTGCATTTGCATCGCAAAGCTGGCGGCAAACGAAAATTGAGAAGGCGACATTCGCCTCAGAACAAAAGCATCAGATTCTGCGGGCCCACCAAGCAGCGAGCGCTGGAACCAAGGATGCGGCGAAGAAGAGAGCCTCACTTTGCAACCTCTCTGTTGCCAAAGAGATGCAGAGACGATCGCCGGCCTGAGCCAGGAGGTGAAACATGACATGTGCTATTCGGCAGAGCCAGCGGTTTAAACGAATTGTGGAGCATGTGCGCGTCTTGCGCACCATGGCGATGGTAAAAGTTGCGATGGCTGGGAGAACATTGAAATACCTTGACCAGACTTAGACCCCCTGCAAAAAGTTACATGTGTTTTGCTCATTGCATGGTAAAATCATGGAAACCCGAAACGGCAAAACGGTGTAAAAGCTGTCTGCTAATTCTGGCCATGATTGCCAGGCCAGGAAGTCAAGAACCACTGCGCCGGCTTGTTGCCAGCTTTCTTCCCGGATCCTCGCAGCTGCATGGTCCATGTAGGCCTTACTTGCCCAAAGGACCTGGAAATAAAAGGTCAACCTTTTGGGACCTGTACTAAAAATGGCCCAACTCAGGGAAACCAAAAGCTTAAAAGGTCGATTCGCTTTGGGCAAGTGAGAGGCCCAAACCAGTGGCAAGCAGGTGGAGAGCATCGCCCAGTAGGGGTAAGGGAACTTCCCCAGCTTCTCCCTCAAGGCATCCGCCACCGTGGAGGAAATATTGGCCTCACAGGCCTCTGCTGAGCCGAACCATTGGCACATGCACTGAACCAACACGTCCTTATCCTCAGCGCAAAGTCGCTTGCTCAAAACCGATCGGTACCAAAATGGTCGATCCCCAGAACCATGCTAAGAATCAGAAAGGCGGAATTCCGCAACGATTTCCGGCTAAAGCTGCCCCTTACTAACCTTCATCAACCCGGGTTTTGATTGTGGCTCACTTGCGCCAAGGAACCAGAAATCACTTGGCTGGAAAAATCGGACAGCAACCAACAACATTTTTTGCCTGGTTGCTAGAAAACAAAGGGGGCCCCCCCGAAGAAAAAAAAAAGGGGAACTCATTCTGGGGAAAATCAAAGGTTAACCTTTTGTGGCAATGGCTAAAACTAGACAAAAACAAGAAGAAAACACAAAAGGTCAAAAGGTCGGCTTTGGGCAACTGAGTATCACAGCCCACCACCATGCCATCTTTGTCCCGGTGACCTGAGGTGCAGCAAGCGCACTGAGTATTGTCCAGTGAAAAGTTCCGCAAGCGAGCATCCAGAGCATCAACCTGAGAGTAGAAGTTGAAAATCAGCATCTCAAGCACTATCGCAGCTGTCAAAAAACCCAGAAGGCCAAGGACGGCAGGAAGCATATTCTCAAAGGGAAGCATGATATTGCCAAGCATAACCGCAAAGGCGAGCCCGAATTGCGCTACCCAGAAACTGTACCAAGTCGTCGGAAGTATGGTGAGGTGCTGCTTTGCTGCTTGCCCCTGACTCTTCATGAATGCAGCCAACTCAAAAATGCACCACAATCTATCAACCCATGTGTCATCCCACACCACTATCATCCCCTTGGCGTTCTTGATGTTTCCCGCAAGGCTCCGGATACCCTGCTGTCTCAGCACGGCATCAGTTTGATGAATGCACACCAAGTCAATCCACACAAGTTCCTGAGACCGCCAGAGGTATACAACGATGCAGAACAGCAGAAAGCCTGTCAAAAGGCACCAGGGCCCGATCCTCAGCCCAAAGAAGCTGGAACGCTGGAACTAGGGTTCACGTTTTGGACGACATATGGACCAAAAACGGACAACCCAAACAGGTCAAAAAGTGAGACTTGAACTGAGGATCTCGACGGGAAATCCCGACCATGCTTGCTTGGTGTAGCCTGGAATCAGGTTGCCGGAGCTGAGACCGAAAGGCACTCCCGCACCCAAGCTGGCGATGATGGTCGCGGCAAGGCCGTTGTAGCAAAGAAACAGCAGCCCTGCCTTCTTCCACACTGGTGTCCTCCAACTATGAGACCAAAAAGTGCGGGTCTGCTTCTTGGTTTCGAAGCCGTACTGGTAGGCATCCTCAGCTCGGATTTCGGAGAAAAACTTACCGGGCGAAAAGAAACACACCGGCGATTTCAGTCAAGTCAAACCCATCCCTTCCCTGTCCTCCTTCTGGGTTGCTGCAATGACACGCATCGCGCGCCCGGCTGTGACAGCTCTCTTCTGCTTTTGGACCAGCTGCATCTCGGCCAGCCACTTCACCATGCGCTCCGTGCGGATTTTGGAGACCGAAATATGCACGTCATCGTGACCCGTACCTACCTCGGCCATGTTACTTGCTAACACCTGTGAGCCAATTAGCAAACGAGCTTGCAGAACCCGGGGTCCCCAAAACCATGAACAAGTCGGAGCTGTGCGTTTGTGTTCATTTGTGTGTGGTGTGTGGTGTGTGGTGTGGTATGTGTGTGTGTGGTGTGTCCGGTGTGTGGTGTGTCTGAGTGTGTCTGTGTGTGTGGCTGTGTTGGGAAGGTACCCTGTCCAGCTTCGTTTGAAGGGAAAGCAAAGGGACCACCATCACTTTTAGGGTCCCCGTATTTCCATACACCTTCTATCAAATCAAAATGGGTTCGGCTACTGAGTATGCTGGCAAAAAATACCCAGCGGTTTCCAATCACCCCTGGTGGCAAACTAATCACACCAGGAAAGGAGAGCCGCACACAAAACGGGGCCAGGTACACGTGCTTTCTGGGAAGCCCGATTGGTTTTGTTTTACCCCCTTTTGGACACACATTTCGCAAATAGCAATGCATCCACCTCAAAAGAATGTTGGAAGATGGGACCAACACAGCAGGTAAACTATGCCTTTGTCTCAAAGCTAGGGCCCAATGCAAAGGAACCGCAAGGCCCGGGCCATTGCTTTTTCCACCTCCCAGCTTTTCCCATTGGCCCGCAGGTTCGGATAAAGAGATCTCTGGCTGTCAGCTGATCTTTTTTCCTCTCTTACCTTTATGGGCCCACTGACAGTGGGCTGGATCCGAGCAACAGCCGTTGCTTGGAATGGGACACGTGCCAAGTGACTAAGTGCTTCGCAGCCAAGAACCCGAGAACAGGCCGCTTTTTCTTTTCTTTTTCGGGGAAGCTCGGCTCAAACAAGTTGCAGCCTCAAAGCTTGGAGTTTCTTGGGGCGTGGACTCTGGCCCGAATCAAACATGGGTCCATGACCCTTCGGGTCACGACCCCATTTGTTTAGGGTCATGGAGACTCCGGGTATCTGCGTTTGAGGGTTCCCATTTTTGGTAGGCAAAGGAAAGCCAAAGGGAAAACCACCATATTGGAGAGGTTGCGGGATTGGGCCCGTGAACTGGGCTGGGCGAGGCGATGTTATTGGCATCCCGCAGAATGCGCCCTCAATTAAAGCGTCCTCTTGGCTCCGGAAAAAAACATATCATCAAACACGCGTGAAACAAACACAAGCCGAACTGCCAAAAGCTCGTGCCAACCACTTCCCACTTCTGATGCTAATTTTCTTGGCATGGGTCGCCCCAACCGAAAAAGCAGCTGGCAGGAGCAAGGTACATGTCCTGCAAATCCAAGTTCGACAGGCTGGAAAAGGGAAACCCCCCTTCAAGGCCAATCTCCAATACAAAACCACGGCAATATCCAGCAGGACTAAACAAACACACGGAGTCCCATTGATGTCCTATCAGCCGGTGGACTGGAGAAGACTGGAGAGCCATGAAAGACCGCCGGATTTCTTTCGGGGCCTAGGGGGACTCCGCAGTTGAAAAGGGAACACAATATATACGTACATATATATATATATTAAAATCATTGCTGTTATTGCTATGGCCTTCTGTTCCGGTTTCTTTTTGCCGATGTCCCCGAAAAAGAACGGAGACTCAGGCGCGCCTTCCGGCCCAGGCTGCTCAACCCGCCCAGGCCGTTGGTCTCCTTCTCTGGGGAGGCAGACCCTCCGCGACACACCTTGGGCCAAGCGGGGCCACGGTGTCCCACTGGACGGGGCTGCTGGACATACGGTGGATGGTTGCGAAATTCGTTTCGCACCGTTCAGAAACAATGAAATGGCCAATGGACTCCCATGGAATCAAAGTGGTGCAGGGTTCTGTCCACCCACAGTGCACTGGCTACAACCTGCTTACAAAATGGCTCTCATCCCAGCCGCATATCGGTTCCTGAAAGTCTTCTGTTACCCTCCCGCACACGGCACTGCTTGTGGGGTGGGGGGGGTGGGGGGGGGTGGGGGGGGGTGTTCTATGCTTTGACCCTATCGATCGCTCGCGGCACCATTGGGCATCCATGCGGCCTTTTTTGGTCCTTTGAAGCGAGTAATTTTCAAAACTAGTGAAAACCATTTTGAAAACAACTGATTAGGTACGTGGGTGGCAATTCAGTAGGGTGCAACAATGAACACGTACCAGGCATGGTTTACCGATTTGGGGCTCTTGTTGCCCGTTGTTGGCGCTGGAAGCAAACAGCAAAACAATAAAAAACCAAACCGAACTGCAAACTGACTTCGGGTGTGTGCCAAGGGCACCCCATCGGATTGTTTTCTGAACCCCTCGAAATGAAAACCCAAACGCCACCCAGCACCCGAGTCCCAACTTGCCTGCTTTTTCGACCATGTCTAAAAACCCCCAAGGAACAGTAACCAACAGGCCGTGCTTGGGCCCTGGGTGCCGGTGAGTTTGCCTTTTTGCCAGGTATGTCATGTGGGGACCTTTTCACAGGGAAACCAAAGGGAAACCACCCCATGCTCCCATGTGTTTTGGGGATCTCTTGCTCAATCGATCTGCCCGTTTCCCCATGTTTTTGCGGATCTTTTGCTCAACCACCTGCCGGTTTCACTGGTGAATCCACTTGGCTCCCCCTTGCGAATCGGTTCGAGACTCTCAGTTCAGCTTTCCCAAGGCCCCAACCTGAGCCAGCGCCTGAAGGTATCTCTCCTGCGGGACCCCACCCGAGCGAGGTGTTGCAACCAGAAACCTGTTGAAGCCGGGAAAAAGAAGGCCACGTGGTAAAACCGTACCCGGTAAACCAAGAAAAACATGAGGCAAGAGACCTGCAAGTAACGGACCTTCATGGGCTCTCATGGCGAGCCGGATTTCCATACATTGAGCGCCAAAATTGACGGTCGAACCCTTCCAGCATCTTGGAGCCAATGGGCAAACACCGCTGAGTCCCCACAACCTGTACTGAATGGATCATAAAAGGTCGCCAGGTGTCATTTTCGTTCTGAACGCACCAGCCATTGTCCAGGCAAATGTTGATCAACTGACTCTAGACTCCCTAGCACCGTCCAAGGGTGGTCCATTTCTACCTGCAGTGCTCTTGTGTAAGCCATGTTGGATACAAATGGACCCTTGGGTGCGGGAAGCTTCTTTTGTCAACTCAAGGTCCCTTCTGTTTGATCCTCAAATTCAGGTGGCCTTTCGGCCACAAAAAAAAAGAAAGACAACTCCCCACCCAGGCCACTGTAGGCGCCTTTGGCAGGAGCTCACTCTTCCCTCCGTCACAAGACTCTGACCATAGGCGTCGTTTTGGGTAAAACGTCAATGGGTAGTAACTTCGATGAACCAGTGTGACCCATCGATTTCTAGTCAGACCTGAAAGGACACCTATGACTCTGACCTGTTGAACCAAATTCCACGGCAGATGATCCATTCGCTCATTTCATTTGCCGCACGCGCCTTTTGTTTGGTAGAACCACCTGCCTTAAACTACTGGCCCTCTTTCCAGGGCGGGGGCTGAAACAACTCAAGTCCTCAGTGGACGACTTAATCAAGCCCTTTCTAGTTGCCACCAATGGTCCAAACCCCCAAAAAGCAGAAAGTCCAACTGAGGAAGTGAGAAAATTGCCCCTTGGTGCTTTGGGGAGGTCTTTGTTTGGCTCAAGACTGCGGACGTCCATCTGTCCATAGAGGCTCTCCGCTTCTCTGGTGTGTTGTGCACGTTCACCGCGCGCCAGCGCCGAGTGGTCTGGCCGTTCAGGAAGCGTGCGTATTGCCTGAGACCGCTGGGACGTGTTCTGTGCTTGCTTTGTGGTTGGGCGGGCTACTGTGGATGGTTGCGACAAGCATTGCACACCACAGTTCAGAAACCCTGCGATGAGGCGATTCCTCGGAACAAGTACCAAAAAAACAATGGTTTCAACCATGGCGTCCACGTGGTGCGAAATGGATTTTCGTCCATCCACTGAATGTTTCGGGGAAAGCCGAAACATCACAAACCGAATTAACTCCTAAGGTTGGCTTGTTTGCCCCAACAGCTGAAGGCTATGATTGGTCGAAATCAACCCCGAAAGGCGCTCTGGTGGTTTGTGGCAGCTTTCAGGGAAGGTTCAAAGGAGGGTTCCAGGGATTCTGCTGTTGGAGATGCCGCCCGGGCTTTTCCTTTCTTTGGGGCGGACGATGTTTCGGCCAATGAACATGGAACCTGACGGCGGGGCCCTTTAAGAAAATTGTCCTCCAGGGGATGTCTGGGATGGCAACACGGAGAAACTCCGATCCACACAGCCGCCACCTGAGTCATAATAAAAACCCGGTATTAAAATGGTCGTAATCCCAGAGACCGGCTTCAAGAATTAAGCAGCCGGATATCCGCAACAAATTTATGGCCAGGGGATTGTCCCTTACTAACCTTCATCTACCTAGACTCTCCATGACCCTTTAAAAATTGGTCCGTGACCCCATTATTTTTGGTAATGACCAACCATTTTTTAAGGGTCAGAAGGAGACTCCAGGTACCTGGCTTTTGATTGTCGCTTGGGATGGTCATCTTCGGGCCCCCAGGTCAGGCCAACTAACGCCTGGAAGCCCAGAGAGCAAAGAACTGACATGCTGGGTTTGCCGCTAAAAGCGTTTCTGGGACCATGGAGGGGCTGTCGGTCTTTGGTTTCTTTATTGGTTGGGCAAAGTAAAAACAAAAACAAAAAACAACATTTGGCTGTGGCTCAAAAAACCGGTACCCAAAATGCAACCCTGGTAAGTGTAAGTGGAAACATGGACCAAAACCTGCGGTTTGCCCCTCCTGGTTAATTTTGAGCCACACCCATTTGGCTTCCTGAGCAGGTAATGTAAGTACGATGGCCATTTAGCAGCTCACCCTTCGGCTCCCCAGGTCCCACACAAAAGACCCGAGCGAGCCACCAGATATAGATCCAGAAGAGGGTCTCCTCAGCTGCAGGAAATCTGTCGCAAAAACTGGCATGTTGACCCCAAAAAGTGTGGACAAGGGTGAGAAGTATCAATTGCTGGGGCCTCATGGTTCATCAACACAAGCCGGAGGGCCCCCATGTGCTTGGCTGTTTCGTCGTTGTTTTGGGGGGGGCCTTGTTTTCGAAGAGCTACTGGCCGAAGACAAACATGGAGAAACTTACCAGGCAACACGGGAAAAAAATGGCCGCTTTCCGGGCAACTGGACCACTCCCATGATCACACAAGCCCAAATCCAAGCCGACAAATGCGCCCAAGTTACCAAAGAACCAGCCCCAACAAAGAAAAACACCCGAGCCAAACCAAGCCAAAAGACGAAAACACCTGGGAGTTGTTGGAGGGTATTCTGTTTGGGCTCACAGAAGGCCCCTAAATGGCCAAGTGCTCAATGGCCGGTGGTGTTTCCTGAAGAGTTACCCAAAGTCAAAGGCTGCTGGATAGCTCCAAAAACAACCCCAGTGCCATTTTGGACCCTTTTGGGGGCTGATTTTCCATGATTAAGCAAGAATAAACAGATAAACCCAGAACAGAAGGGGTTCTGGACTAGGGATTCATAGACGTATACATTCGGCTTTGGAAAGGGGGATGATCCGGCAATTGATGTTTCCTTTTTGTCCAGACTCCGTATTTACCCAAGGTTTTTATGGCACGAGCAACGCAATTCAAGGCAAAGTCTGGCGAATGCCATCTTCGCAAGAGGCTCCGCGAGGCTCCAGGAGATGAGGCCATACTTCAAGAGCTTCCGGGGGTGGAAGTGGCGCGGGCCCACGTACAGCCAAACGCTGCGCAGCCTGAGGCGACTTCTCTTGCGATCGGTGTGATACTGTGGATGGTTGCAAAATCCGTCATCACTTTGAAACCATGGTTGAAACCACTATTCGTTGGTATTTAAAGGGGGATCCTCCTTTTAGGGGTTTCGTAGGTGGTGCAGGAATTCGTCCATCCGCAGTAGGTAGGGAATGAGGGAATAAACCCAGGGATCCCCTCAAAGGAAGTCACAAGGGAGGGTTTATAGGGGGCATTTTGTCCATTCCCTACCTATCACACCAGCAAGTTCTCAGTTGCCGGCCGTACCAACTCATCCCCTGCCAATCTGAACCGGCGAGGTTGATGCAACACTCCATGGTGCCCACTCCGGACCCGGAAGCAAAAGCTGAGATCACCTTTTGGGGGGCCGGAGAAATGATGGCCGACCAAAAGGGAAGACCAAAACGACGGATCTGATCTGATTGATTCGCTTTGGGCAACTGAGAAGAAGAACAGTTAGACGTCGCAGGCCTGCTGTTGAATCCAACAAACGACCATGTATATCAGAAGCAAGGGACCGGCCAACCAAACACCACAGAACAACTGAACAACGAAACAGAACCAACAAAGAACAACAAAACAAGCAAGGCAGGAACACACACACACACATCGAAATCAACAAGCCAAACAACAGACGAACAAATAAACACACAAACACTCAAGCAGACAAAAAAAAACAAAAACAAAAAAAACAAGCCATACACAAAGTACAACCACAACCACCGAGCACACATACAAGCACTTCCGACTCGCAACCCACTCTGAATCGACCAACGATGATGTAGGAAGACTTGGTTCCATTTGCAGAGGCCTTCTGGGAGCTTCCGGCTGTTAGTCTGAGGGAGTGTAGGCGACCCTGCCAGGCGGCAAAAACACCACCGCCGTGGGTGTCGACACGCGCAAGGCGAGGAGGAAGAACTGAACCAGGAGCCGCCGGAAAACGCTTTCGCGGCTGAGGACCTGGGCTGGGGTGACCGCTCTCCGAACGAACCGGTGGTTTGGCCCAAAAAGCGTGTGAACCTCATAAGTTACCGCCAAAATGCCAAAATAAAGTCCAGGAACTCAGGGAGTGAGGGTGTAATCAATTTATCAAAGGACACGCCATGGACAGGCCAAAGCAAGTCTGCACTGGCTTGAAACTGAAATGGTCCAAAGCCAAGTGACTGAAGTCCATGAACTCGAGTAAGACTTTTTCAGAACCCTCGCAAAGTCCCAAGCGAAAGAGCATACCCTTTAACAAAAATTGACAGACCCGCCACTTTCAAGTTGGCCTGGAAGGAGGAAGTGCCGTGGGCGAGGTGAAACACGAAAGCTGTGCGACGAGGTGAGGGCGACGCACATACTTGAGGGGGCGAGCGGGTGGGGTGGCAGGGGGTCCCGTTGCACGCTTGCAAGGCGCAGTGCCTTGCAAACAGGGTCAACGCACTCCTGGGGTGCTTCCTTTCAGTTTCAGTTTCCCATGATCGCATGTGGGCTCTTGTGGCCATTGCAAACCAACAAAAAAAAAACATCTGGATGCTGGGAACAGCCCACAGGACCAGGTGCTTTTCGTTTCATGCGTCGACTTTGAGTCTTCGAGTGCCTTCGAAGCGCTCGCTTTCCGCGAGCAGACCTAGGATCGAAGGTCCTGCCCAGAGTTGCAACATGAAATGGGCGCCGGGGCAGACACGTCGTGGCCAAAAACGGACATTAGAAGAAAAGTCACTACCTTTCCCCCTCCGAATGATTTCCATTTTAAGCACCGCCGGATATGAAGAAACAAATACAATGGCCAAACAACAATACCAGGTCAACCACAAACCAAGACTAAGTACTACTGTGGATGAACGGAATCCTGCACCACCTAAGAAAACCAACGGAATGATGGGTTTCCCCTGTAAAATGCCTGCTTAAACCCTGGTTTCAACCGTGGTTTCAACGGTGCGAAACGGATTTCGCGTCCATCCACAGGGCCTCTGGGATCCCAACCGCAGACATACGCCTGGGCGATTCCCCCCCCCCCCCCGCGCCAAATCCGGCAAGGCGCTCCCACTCCCAGCGTTGGCACCAGCGCCGTGGCCAGCACTGGCTTCCAAGCGTCCATGGCCTCAGCCCGAACAGGGCAAGCGCTCGGGGGACGGCCGGCTTTCTGCAAATCGAACGGGTGATCAATGTACCTGGAGTCTCCTTCTGACCCTCCAAAACATGGTTGGTCAGTACTCAAAAGAATGGGATCATTACTCAAAATAATGGGGAGTCATTACTCACAATCATGGGGTCATTGACCCATTTTCATTTTTTAGGGTCCTGGTTTCGGAAACGATCGATCCACTGTTGGAGGTTCCCTTTAACGGGTCATGGAGGAAACTCGGAGCACTCAAACAGCTTCCTCCCAGTTGGTGGTTTGGATTGGTGGTTTGGTGGAAAGGGGCAGTTTGCAAGAACCAGGCAACATCGCCAATTCAGGGGAACCTGACTGAAGATCCTATGCCAACACGAAGTCCGAAACACATGTTGGCTGGCAGAACCGCATGCCCCGCCCCCCTTCCCCCCGTCGTGTACAACAGCCATGTTGCTTTGACATCAAAACCAGCCGGGCAACCAACTGCCCCACAAACATGCCATGTCTTCCTTCTTTCTTGCCCCGAGGAGCCGACAAAGAGAACATACGTCTACGTTTTCAGAACCTTAAAACGACTGCTGGACAGCCGAAAGGTGAACACTGGTTGATTCGCTGAGGCAATTGACCTTTCTGAGGGCACCACTGCAGCTTTGGCCAGCAAGTCTGGATCGCTGGTTTCTACGGTTGTCGGGCAGATTTCGCGTCCATGTCTGTGCATTCATGTTGCGCACGCAAAAGAAAGCGAGCCAATTGTCTGTTGCCATTTGCTCGCCATTTCTTGGATAGCCCGTTGTGGAGACTGACCGGCCGCGCGCGAGCTGCAAGCTTGTGGGGTTCCCTGGCATTCCAAACCAAGATGGTGAGAACCGCCAGCTCCGGCTAGGCGCTTCCGCCGAAGGCCTTCCGCATCCCTTCGCAAAGACTGGGCGCATTGCAAAGGCGATCTTTTGAGCGTGTGGACCCCAAAGATTGAAGCAACTGTCGAAGGCATCGCAACTTTCGCCTTTCACCTTGCCAACTCAGCCCGAAGCACCAGGAAGGGCAATGAACCAGCTGTCTGATTGGGCGAATCACTGTTCGGCAAACATCCGCGCGAACAAACCTATGCGCTGACTTCCGAGTATCCCGCCAATGGAAGCCCCAAGCATACTGTTGATGCATGAAATCCTGCACCAGCTTGATGCACAGCCGTGCCCATTCCCATCACTTCCTTCCCAAAAACCTCGTCATTGAGCCCATGGCCATGGGAGAAAAAGCCCCACTCGCGGATCCGGAAAAAGAATCAGGGCGCGCGCCAATCCGAAGAGCCGCTTTTTGTCCACACCCAATGTAGCCACCCAGGCTACGTGCGAGCAACAGCGTGCCCACCTGCCCAACTGTCATGATCTGATGACAAGAGTCTGTCCCTCCCTGCAGCTTTTGGTTTGCTGTGCTTGATTTCCTCTCCCTTGCCAGCCCTCATGTTTAGACAAATCTATGTCTCACAGCCCCTAGGAGATGTCCGAGATCAAACATGATCAGGCTGAAGCTGTTCCCCCTCCCTTGCTGAAACATTGACGGTCACAACTTTGGCGCATTGCCAGCGTACCGAGAAACCACACGATTGTCTCAATGATTTTATCCAAGAAAAGAAACACCAGGGTGGGGCCAGACTCCCCCCCCAAAAAAGAAAGAATATTGATAAAAGATTGAACAAAACAGCACAAATAAGCGTACATACTTAAAGCAACGATCGTTCAAACAAAACTCCTGTTAGCTCCCCTGTGCTGCGCGGGACTCATATGCACCCGCGAAAAACAAACTGTTAGCTGGTCCAAATGGAACATGCTGGAAACCCCAGGGGTTTTAGTCGATTAAATCTGGGTCTGCTTGATAACAACTTTACATTTTGGCCAATCATGCCCGTGGCGAACATACAGCTTGGCTCGCCGCGTGGCCGAGGGTAGCTACGCCTCATTCCCCCATGAGAAGGTTGAACACAGCACATCTGAGAACCAACACGTCAACAAGCTTCGGTACGGTGAGAGGGCAGGACAACCTCTAGTAGCTCTAGGAAGTGTTGGTTTTCACCAACAAAAATATGGTAAGCCAATTGTTTGATTGTTTGATAGATACTTCTGCATAAAGAAACATTCCAACAGACCGGGGGGTCAAGAACAGGCCCTTCAAATCTGCTAGTTCATCGGCGTTAACCATGGCCAAACGGGGTCGCCTAATGTTGACCCTGGATCTGATTAGAACCCCTCCTGTTAGGAAGTGTTCCGGTGTTCTCACCAAAAGTGGTCTAAACCCCACTAAAAGGGGACCCCCCGAGCAGAATCAACTAAAGGTTTACTAATCCGTGACTCCCATTACCCAAACCCAGGAGTGGCCTAAAGTCATACGACTCAGTCGCTGCAACGGGATGTGTCTGTGTTCAACCGGCTGGTTGGCGGCACCGCGCAAGCAAGTGCGGAATGCTCCGGCCATAATGCCACGAGAGAAGTCAAGCGACATGCTTATTCACAAGCCCAAGTGCTCCATGCTGGAACAGGGCTCTTCCCCTCAAACACCCAAAAGAGGAAGCTCGCCCAGAATTGGTCCAACTGCACTTAAAGCCAACATGGAAGCATGGGAGCCCTGTTGAGATCATGTCAAGTTCACATGCTCAGAGGGTTGGGTCACCGGAACATCTAGCAAGACATGGCCCCAAAACACCCGAATTCATCCGTTCTTCCTGCAACCCAACCCTTCGACATGTGTCACACAAGGAGCACCTGGGTGCCAAACCAAGCCTTGGCGCCACGTTCCGGGCGCCTTGGGGCGCCTTGGATTCCCGGCAGATTCGCATTCCCAGGTATCGGAAGCCGATAGCCTGGGCCCCTACACGCGGCAAACTCTGCCATGCTGGGCCAGTGGATGGGTGAAGGTGTTGCTTGTAGATCCTGATCCATTCATATATGTACACATATATATATATATATACATATATATATATATTCACGTATAGACATAACAAATACACATTTCATATGAATATATATATATATATATTGTTGTTTCCTCCCCGTAGAAGGGACGATGTTCACATGCGAGCAAATTACTTTTTCACAAATTGGAAAAAACGATCTTCCAAAGCAATAGACCTTCATGGGTGAGCTCGTTGCCCCCACAAGCCCGCTATACATTCTCCAGAAACGTATGGGGCAGGGTGCCTTTGCTGTACGACCCTTCCAGACGCTGGGGCGAGGTTTCTCGGGGTTGTTTCCCAGCTTTACCGCTGCTGTAATTGGCTTCGTCAACTGCCAGACTGTGATGTGAAAATGCATGCCAGCTTCAGGCGGCAAGGCGGCAGATTGAGGGATCAACCAACTGAGAAGCACCCGGGCCCAACATGGACAGCACAGTCTGAAGATCGCGAGCAAATCGCCAGCTACGCATGGGTGTCCACTCGACTTGGCCAGAGCTACACTCAGCAAATCATGATGTTTGACAAGAAGTGTCAATTGCTTGTGCAGTTTATAGTGACTTCTTTCTCGCAAACGACCCTCCCTGTTGAATCGCGGGGGGGGGGCCGTAGTCAGGGGTCAACACAGGGATCCTTACATTATACATGTGAGCATTGCCTTGTAAATGGTTGAAAAAGCCACATGTTTCAAATGGCTTGGCAAAATGTATCCTTTAAGGAGCCCTGCACCATTACCTTGGTTTGCGGCTCATTTCACGCCAGAGTTCTGGCCAATGCCAAAGCTGCTGTGGCGTCGTAGCTGCGAGTGAAATCTGTGTCGTCAAAGCAGGATGAATCCTTCCATCAAATAACACAGAACCTGACAGGGGTCCCTTTAAAAGGAAAATGCATGGTTCCATGTTAATTGGTGGGAGGGTACCGGTTGACAGGTCCGACTTTTGAGCTAAGTATCCTGCTTCAAGCATCCGGTCCAAACTGGCCGGACTTTTCTGGGGCATCAGTCTCAGTGGAATCCAAAAATGTGCGTCGGCACCCTGTGAAAACAGCGACAGTTTCCACCGAAACGGACGCCGAGCCAATGGGAACGCAAAGTCGCGCAACTGCCCGCCCCACGGCGTTTAGCCTGTTTGTTTTTTTTGGAGAGTGAGAATATGTTGGACAAAATCCTGGATGACACCCTATGAATACTGGTATAAACTAGCTGGTGCCGATCGCCGTGGATTTTGTCCACAGTATCACCATCCTCCCCATGCCGAGGAGCCACTGGCAAAGTCTCTCTCAGAAATGGGCTAACCTACTAAAGGCAATGGTAGATTGGGAAACCGACTAAACACAAATAAGGCGGTATGCCCTTTGTGCACTCTGGGAAAACCAGCCTTGCCAGTGCCTGTGGAATCGCTCGGAGCCCTCTGTCTGTCTGACCTTTCGTCGGCTGACTCCGAATGCAATCGAATTAGGCGGCGTTCTTTGCCTGAAAATTCGGACCCGGAAGATGGCTTTCCAGCAAAACCAATGAGTTGAAGTCATGCGTGTGAAGGGTGTCACAGTACATGCCCCTGAACATGTGCCCCAAACATATGTTCTTTCCCGGGTAACTGGATTTGGCAATTCCGAGACCTGAATGGGCGCTATATAAGTAGCATCTTAAGGGCATCTGCGCACGGTTGAAGCTTCGCATTTGGGAAGGTGCCACAAACATGTTTGGGATCAGGTTGCTTTCCAGCCGGGCACCAAAAACAACACCATGCCTAAAGACACCTACAGTACTCGTGACCCAAGCCAAATCTGAATTCAAATCAACTTGAGTTGCGCGTTGGGGCAAAGAAGGGGGTGATTGGCGAAGCGTAAAATTGAATTGGATCGGTGCCATAAGACTGAGCCCCCAAATCCCAATCCATGCTTGCTGCCGCTTGATATCAGGGTCTGTCTCAAGCAGGGAACGGGATGGGCTGAGGGAAATCAATAACATAACCGAACATCCGCCCAAAAAGGGATCACCTCAATTTTTGGCTGAAAATCGGAAACATCCAGATTGAAAAAATGTGATCCATCAAGAAAGAACAAACAAACTCCACTGAACGAACCGCGATCTTTAGCAACATGGAAAACACACCAAGTTTCAACTCGCGCCTGAGCTCAGCTGCCCTCAAATCCCCTGCTAAAAGTTCAACTTGCAGTGCGTTACATACGGACACCCCACTACCAAACACCATAAAGCTAAAAAACGGGATGGCTGAGAACCACCAAGTCACGTGGCACTAAACACTGAAAGGCTAAACAGCTAAGGAACCGGATGGCCTTCGGGAGCCACCAAGCAACTAAATACACTTCAAAAAACTAGCGCGGTAAGGGGGACCGAATCGGATGGACGCGAGCCAATTCTCCCGAATCGGTCGCTGGCTTCTCGAATCAAAAGCAGGTCAAGGTCAGGGAGTGCTCGGACAGGTGGAAGCCCTGCGGATACACCAGGAGATCTGGGCCTTTTCGCTGCTTAGTGGGTCCATTTACCTGGCTTTGGTAGCTCACCTTTGCCGAAACCCTGAAAAAAGAAAACGATTGCTTGTTGCCTGGGGTGGTGCTCTGCCAAAAGATGAATTCTGTGGTGCCCAGTGCACCTCCATTTACCTGGTCCTGTAGGTAGCCCCCAAAACCACAGCTTTAGAAGATACCAGCAACAGTGATGTTTCAGGTATGCCACTTGGTGCGCCAAGTTTGGGGCGCAGTCATGGCTGCTTTACCCCAGGGCATCTTGCTGGCACCAAGGTTCAAGTGAGGCTATGCTCATTGGTGAGTCCTCTTACTGGTTGGTGGACATAAATTGATGTCACTCGGCTGTGGCTCAAAAAAGTGGTACCACAATTGCATCTTGGTAAATGGATCCAAAGACTAAAACCCGTGTAACGGTAGCTCTTTAATTTTGAGCCATACCCACTCAGTGGTTGGTGGTTGGTGGACAATGTGCGGAGCTTCCACCATGAATGATGTCTTGCGGTACCTTTCCATTGAGATGGCAACTACTTGGGAGCTCCGCACATTTTCTGGCAGCACAGCCTTGTCATGGGATGACTCACCTGAGCGCCATCTAGAATAACTGGCTGCTGATTGGACACCTCCATTTTGAAACCGTTTCCTCGTTGGTAAGTAGGCAAATGGACATCTCCTGCTCGTTTGCGATCTGTCCCGCAAACCTGATAATGTATGACTCTTCCCAAGTCCAAAAAGCGTCGGGAGTCGGCATTAGGACAGAAACGTCACCTCGGAAATGCATCCTCGACGTCTTCAACAAACTAACACACATAGCATTAGCAAATCAAATCTAATGACAAAGACAAATAATTGCAAGAACTAGACAGAAATGATTCTGAGAAAATACATCTACTATTTCATTGGAATTACCTTAATCCGTTTTAACCAAACAATTAGTAAAATGCAACTACGCCAAAGGTGATCAATCACCTAGTGATTAAGAACTTAATACTTTTAAGAGATCGACTTACAAGGAATGGATGATATTTGCAAATTAATTGTGTACCACCTTATCTTGATTCTCCTCGGTAGAGCTTAAGGAAATACTTAAAACAGATAACGACAAATGATTGTAAAGACAGATAATCGACAAACAATATGTAAACAATTGATCTTAAGTAACCTGATTTCAACATGAATAGACTTACAAAAGAGAAAACACCAACAATTCCACTGACATCTTGGGGCCCCTTGGTCGCTCCTGGATGCTTTGGAAGAGCTGTGCTTTCGTGGACGGCTTCACCTGGAACTGGCGGCTGCTGCTTAAGACACACCCGGCCGCAATGGAATGGGAGGATTCACTCAACCCGTCAGCTTCCCTCCAGCGGATGGATTAGGGGTTAGGGGGTGGTTTCCTATTTGTCCTCGAAGGCCCGAGCTTATATCCCTAAACCAATGCCTTCCATTTGGTTAAGAGTATTTGTTATTCCCTGTTAATTACAGGGAAGCAGTTTCACTGCTGGAATTATTTATTTTGTTTCAGGGGACTTGAGCAAATTGTGGATGTAAAGAACAATGATATATGAGCCGAGCTGGGCGCTACGAAGGTGATGCGGCCCGAAAGCAGTGTCTGGGAAACAAGCAAGTTGCTTCGCGGTGGCATCCTTCCCCTTGTGTCTTTCAGGGAAACCCGGCTTTTTGGGCGATTTTGCACTCAGGCAGGAACTTGACAAAGGCAAAAGGGCAAGAACACGGCAACCGCCCCATTTAGCTTAGGAACACAGCAGCATGGACAGCTATGAGCACAAAAAGCTATCAGAAGCGTGCCTCTCGTGCACCGGGTGCGACATAATTAGTCTGTCAAGGACAAAGTGTCAACCACGTCCGCATCCGCATGTGGATCCCTTTTGGGGCGACCAGGAGTGTGTTGTTGAGAACCTCAAGCGTCCAGCTGCACAGACCCATACACCCTGCCACACCAGGAAGCCTCTACCAGGACAAAACTCATCTTACAGCCTCGGGCCCCGTGCTACATGCAGATTGGAGCAAGTGACTGAACCGGAGGAGGTGCCACGACCTGAGCCTATGCTGCACATTCAGGTCTTCATGGAGCAAGGCTCTAGGGGTGAAAGTACATACCCCTTGTTCATACCCCTTGGCTTCCGTGGTTTCCAACCCACTGTATAAGGGCTATATACCCTTTTGGGGAGAGGGGTATGAACATCAGCAGGCGTTTTGGGATAATTTTTCCAAGGGGTATGTAAAAGGGGCCTGGAAAGGCCTTGCTCACTAATAGAAATGATCCTCCTAGGCAATTTCCTCGTGTCGATCTATCGGTGTCTACGCGGTGTTCTCCTTAAATGCTGAACTCTCCATTGGTTGCCAGTTTCTCACTTCACCAAAAATACCGAACGTCCAGGAAGTTTTTTCTTTACCTAACTAAAGTCCGAAACCGAACTCAGGGAGTGAGGTTCAAGGGGGGCCTGTACAGGACAAGCACCACCTTCGGGGACAAACCCGCGGATCCGTACCCCGATTCCTTTCTTCGGAGCCTGGCTCAGCTGGTCTAAGGCCAAGCGTACCGCTGCCTGAGACGCCAAATGGGTGGCACGTCTTGTTTTGGGAATCGGGCAGCCGTGGGTTTTCCTCTTGGCTGCCCTTTGAACCAACTCTAAACACCAAACGCCCAAATACTTGTTTTGCAGTGCTTTCGTTTGGCCCGCTGAAACCATAAAAACCTTGGGTAAATACGGAGTCTGGACAAAAAAGGGAAACATCAATTGCCAGATCATCCCCTTTCCAAAGCCGAATGTACACATCTATGAACCCCTAGTCCAGAACCCCTTCTGTTCTGGGTTTATTTGTTAATTCTTGCTTAATCATGGGAAATCAGCTCCCAAAAGGGTCCAAAATGGCAATGGGGTTGTTTTTGGACCTATCCAGCAGCCTTTGACTTTGGGTAGATCTTCGGTAGACACTACTGGGCATTGAGCACTTGGCCATTGAGGGGCTTCCTATGCGCCCAAACAGGATACTGTCCAACAACGCCCATGTGGCGTGCACGACGGTTCGCTTGCTGCTTGAGGGGGTAAGGTGCCAGCTAACCTCTTGAAACCCCAACAATTCACATCAACTCAAACAAAGGGACGCTGGGAAGTAGCGTTCCGAGTCATATCAACCGCTGAAGAGTAAAACAACATTGGGCATGGAGTCCATACCCAGGTTGCACTGTTCCCAGTCTGGACCCCCCAAGGTGAGGTTCCATGTGGACTGGCCACCGAGCGCTTGACATCTTGGCTTCTCTTAGCCATCCAAGTGGCTCCTTTTTGAGATCCCTCCGATTTTCCGCCCACCAATCGATAAACCAATCTCTTTGATTGAAATCCGACATATAACTTTAGGATTGCCTTCGAATAGCCTAGCTAAACCCACGCAAACAACAAAAACTCAGCGGCCACCAAAAACGACACGAGCATGGCAAACAAGCTAGCCACAAAAAGAACAGCTTGCCAAATCAAGCAATTTGCTTGCAGTTGCCAACCCGGCCAGCTTCAAATCAAACACTCAACTTTGCCAAGTCACCCAACAAGAATCCATTTCACTCATAGCTGCCAAACATGACACTTTTTGTGATAAAGAAACATTCCGATCCCCATGGCTACTGTGCTTTAAAAGAGGTTTCCTTGGCGTCACAGGGGTATGGAAAAAAAAGCTAAGAGATGATCCGTCCCCTGTTGGCTTCTCCTTTACTCACTTCCTGAGTGGATGGCCCAAAATATGTACCAAAATGGTCCAACCCCAAATAGTGACTAAAGTCTATGAACTCAGGAAGTGATTTGTTCCCTTGGCTTGTTCATTTCTTTAAAAATGGGGGACGATTGACCTTCCACAGCATCGCCCCCCCCCTCACCGCCCCCCCGGTGGCTTCATCCGCCGAGGCTTCGGCGTGGAGCGACACCGGGCGCTGGGGCGGCGAGGCCCGGGTGACCCCGTCGGGCCAGGCCTGGCTGCCGTGTGCCATGGACCCTCCGAACTCTGAAAAGGGGGCCGCCCCCCAAAATGTTGGTGGGTGGAAAATCAGTGATCTCCCAAACAATATATGTGGTTGGTGAAACATGGGTGATCTCTCCAACATGTTTTGGGGTTGGTGAAAGATGGGTGATCGCCCTGAGAACTCATGCAGTCCCCCCCTTTTTCTTCTGGGTAGTTTGAAGGTTCAGGTAGGAGGAGCCCCGGATGGCGGGTTTCCATATGTTTGCTGATTCTTGGCTTGGTTTCCTTTGAGCGCATCCTAAGTCTACCCCAGGTTTGTATGGAGGATTCCAGTGATCCAGTGAAAGAATATCATATTGGGTGAAGGGACGTGAGTAAAAGAACAAGGGGCAACACTGGGGTAAGTCACAAGATGTGGCTTTGTCTGCCGAGACGGTTCCAACAAGCATGGTGCAATCCTTTCTATAGGGCCAGGTAAGCCATAATATGAAATCTCAGATATGGCAAGCTCGCCAACCACAAACGGGTTTCAATGTGTTGCCTACTTGCAACATGAAGCCTAGGGCGCAGGTTTCCATCTTTTGAACACCAAATCAGGGTTGGAGTGCTGGATCAAAAACCGATGGTTTTCTTGTTCCCACATTGAATGTGGGCGTCCCTAGTTGACGAGTTTACTGGTGGGGTACTGCCAAGTCCGATCCAAAGTGAGGGGCACTTGGCAAACCCTGACTCATTGCAACCAAGACTTCACAACTGGTAGGTGAGCAAACCGCTTTGTTCTTACCCCGCTAAACATGAATAGGGCCAAAGAAGCAAAGAACTAAGATACATGCTGCAAACAGAAGGTTGGGACTCGTTGCACACCCCAACAGAATGAAAAAGAACTGCAAACGGGTCTGGAAAGTGCAAGGCTGGTTGGCGTTTCCACTACCTCCAACCTACTAGGCAAGGATGTACTAGACATGGAACACTGATCCTATTGTACATAGCGACAGTGGTTTTAGACCCTATTTCCCTTAAGTGCCGGTTTGCGGCCGGAAAGCCCTCGAAACTGCCCCCACCATCAGTTTGCTCACATCTAGGGTTTGCAAACAATGAAACTGTCTGATGCTGTTTCATACTTTACCCCTCGACTATATATAACATTGAACTAAAGGCACGGTCGTTGAGTGTGTTGAGAAATCTTAACAAGGAACGAGACCCTCGCCTGGCCGGCAAGTCAATTTCCCAGAGGCTCGGTCCCTCAGAGCCCCCCAAAACCGGATTGCGTTTACAGTAAGGCTGGTCTACAACTACACGAGTTACGTACGTTTGCAACTCGAAACCACGTCCCAGCAACAGCTGGGTATTTTTGGAAAAACCTAGGTTTCCATGGTACATACCTCCTTTTTTAGTAGAGGGTCGACAGCATACCCTAAAAAAAGAGGGTATTTGGAGTAGGGGGTAGTCTGAAATCAAAGGCTTGGGCAATAGGCATCTCCCGTGCTTCTGCTTGCAGATTGTCAAGGCGTTTGCTGCATGCCGGCGGGTCAAAGTCAGCTTTTGATTGGGATTCAGGCTGCGGATGGCACATCTTGAGATGAGGGGTTTTCACGGGTGCGATTGGGTGCGAATTGCAATTTGGCTGCAAGCAGCACTGCCAACCTGCAAGGAGGGAAGCAAACCGCACCCAAACCGCACCCCTTTCCCAGAGATGTCACTTGCAAGCCTCAATCTCAACCAGGGAATTGCTGATGCGGGAGCACTATGGGAGAAGCCTAACACTTCGAGATGGAGACCCTCCCCCATGTCCCATCAACTGATTTCAAACTGCTTTCAGCCTGGGTTCGGACCTTGTTTTTGGCTGCTCTAGTTGCGCCTCCCGGGGAAACCTCGGATTTCTTGGCTCCCTGTTGGATTTAGAAATTTGCGAGACTCTCGACAGCGAAAAGGCTTTCTTATCACACAACATGACAGTACCTGAACGCTCAAACTACCTCTCCCCCCAAAAAAGATCGGGAAAAAGGAAGGGCATCACCACATGTTGGGGCAACTTTTGACCCCTTTAAAAACGACAAAAACATCAGACACCTCATATTTCTTCGGGTCGCAGCGGCAACCGCCAGCGTCCCGCCTTCACAGGCCTTCGCGGCGGGTGCGTGCAGGTCACGCCCTCGGGGGCGGACACCTCACCGCCAGCGCATCCGAGGCACGCACCGACGGACCGCGCCAAAAGCGAAGCGAAGCGACGTTTGGCGAGTCGAAATCCGTGGATTTCCGTGGGGCGAATGGATTTTTTGCCGGATTTCCAGGGGTTTCCCAGTTTCCCGGTGGCTTGTCAGGAAATCCGAAGTGGATTTCCCATGGAGCAAAAATGGTCTGTCGGGAAATCCGAAAAAGACAAGAGACAGTGTGCTGCCCCCCTGTCTTATGTGAATTTCGGGCTGACCCCGGCCACATTGATCAGGAGTGGTCCCGCTTTAAATGCATGGCCTGGTTTAGGCTGTTTCTCGGACGGGTATTGTCCCCAAAGTTAACATACGCAAACTTTCACCTGCATGTATTGTGAATGAATGTGTATGAACATATCTATTTGAAATTGCTTTGCACCCTGAACATATTGTAGATTGGTACTTGTCTTTGCATCCCCCGGCATGCAAAAAGAGAGTCCCGATTGGTATGGGTCGTGTGCACTTTCAAAGGGTTAACTTACCCGAATTTCGCTGTTTTCCTCTACTGTGCCATCAGATCTCGGGATAAAAGTGAACAACTTTTAGTGGGTGAAATGGAAACTATGGACCACTAAACCAACTACAAAGCTCTAAAAAGCTAAGGAACCGGATGGCTGGGAGCCACCTGCCACCCACTTCCTGAGCCAGCCCGATGCCCAAGGTGCCCCGGCTCGGAACAGCTCGGGCTGCTCCGTCTCTGCATCGCTCACTTCTGAGGCCCAAGAGGGCGATCCCTGGCGCGCCAAGAAAAAACTTGCCACACATTTGTTTTTTCATTGGGTACGTGTTTCTGGGGGTCAAAGTGAGAAACTCTACGGTGGTTCTTTTTTCACCTACCAGTTGTTTTCCTTTTTTTTGGGGGGGTGACTTTGGTTTACCGACCCTCCCACCCTTTTCACATGGAACCTGACGTTCGGGGAGTCCTGAAAGACCAATTTGCTTTTAAAGGGATAATTGGTGGGAGGGTACATGTATGTACATGTTTCCTGCCCAGGTGCTGATGACCTCCAAAAGTGCTCCCACAAGCCCTATAGTCGACCTTCGGCATCAAATTCATTCGTATTGTTGTGGACCGTCAACAACCCTACGACAATCCTTTGACACCTGGTCTTTAAACAAAAACCCAACAAGCAAGGGAAAACCAAGCATGGACAGTCCGACAGCCCAAAGAACGAAAAATATGTTGAACGTGAACCTGCCATGACTCCAACAGAACTTTAATTGCGTGGTTCCGCCAAGATGCCTCCAACATCATGCGGGTAAGCTAGAGCTTCGTATACCAACCTGAAATAAGCGATTCAAGTATTGGCGCCAAGATGACGGCAATCCGCCGGACGTCCGGCGCTTTTCTGGTGCAATGGGGCCAGTACACCACGTCCAAAATGAACTACACCTCACCTCGCACCTTCAGAAGGGTACGTGTGGCCCTCCGAAAGGTGATTTTCGCATCCAGGGAGGCATTCTGAAGGAAACATATTTTGCGCGAATCAACCGGATTCACCAACGACTGAAGTATGGCAGTCCCAAGAAAAAACACATTCATCACAAGTAAGGTCGCACACCCCTGAAGTGACGTCGCTCCCCTTTGCCCGCAACCGCGCTCAGCCTCAATGACCATGCAGGTCCCCGGTGCGGTTCGCAGCGCTCGGGTGGGACTGTCCCAGTCCTGGCGGATGCACCGGGGCTCCCGAGGGCTATCAGGCCACGAGCTGGCGTTTGCCTGACGTCGGCTGTAGCTCATGGTGCTGGCTGCGTCACCTAGGTGTTGTTGAGTTGTTCTTCGCTCTCCTGCTGTTTGCGGAATCATTCTGGGACAAGTACAACGTCGGGATCCTCCATGTGCTTTGTGCTATGGATGTCAGACATCACACACCACACACCACACATCACAAACAACCACACACACACACACACACACACGAGCGTACCAACAACCACGAGCGGCCACAACAAAACCAATACATGCGCCAACATTGCAACCAATGCCAACACCAATCAATTGAGCGACTCTATAAACCTCCCATGAATCCCTATGTCGTATCAAGTTGCTTACGCGCGAGCGCTTGCGCTTTCCTTACGCGACCCATGTTTCAGCGCTTACGCGTGGGTGTATGTGGGTGTGTTGAGTGTTTCTCCTCGAGAGAGTTGCTTACGCGGGCTACTTGGCGCTCTTATTCTTACTGCAAGTCAACGGGTTATACGCGAACCTTACGCGCCTGCTTACGCGAGCTTACGCGCCTGAGCCCCTTTAGTTTTCCTAAATCAGCGGTTTCAGAAGCCTTTTTTTGTCCCAGTGAAGGTTGCAACAGCACCTAGCGTGAGCCCCAAGAGCTCCCAATCAAAGTTCTGCTGGTTTTGTTTTCGATTGGTGCGCACATGCGGTCTTAGAAGTCTTCCTGCGGCCAAAGTCTCCGGGCAAGTTGCCAAGCTCGACTAGGTTGCAACAGCACCAGCCACCAATAAACACACAAGCACATGTGTGAGACAACTCTTCCGAGCATGCTTACAAAGCTTACCAAGCAAACACGAAGAAGAGCTTACGCAGGTGCTTACGCAGCATGTTTCCCCGACAAGTGCTTAGGCCGGCTTACGCCGTGCAGGGTGTTGCTTACGCGGGGCCTTGTTATGACACAACTCTTGCTTGGGATGTAGCGGGGGGTTTTTAGAGCTGCTCAATTGTATACTCTGACGCCGGCCTCCGGGACCACCCTAATTATTAGCACGGCGCATTCGAGCCAGCCAAGCAACAAACAAACACATCAGCGGATTGACCACAACAAAGATTGCGACCAGCACCCCCCAACAACTGCTTTGTCCCATGTCCGAAATCGCAAGTACTATCCAAAAAGGAGCTCTCCCTTTGCTTAAGTCCCCTGACACAATATTTCCATTAGCGATAGATTCCTTTAAAACCCAACAGGGAACACTAAAACAAATATTATTTCAGCAAATGGAAGATTTCCCCCACCTGCCAAAAGATCCCGCGTAACTTCCAGGTGACTGAAACCTGTCGCTCTTCACCCATCGTTCTCTTTGGAAACCAACCATTTCCCAGGGTGTTGGCCCACTCTTTGAAGAGAATGGGGGGGGGGTACTGCTAGACCTGTTGAGTTTAAGCTTTTTGAGCCCGACGCCAGCTGTGGCCCTTAGTTGCGGTCCCCAGCCGCGGCCTCAACCACGGTGGTGCGGGTGAGGCGCCGGGTGCCGCTGTGCTCCGAGATCCAGGAGACGGGCAGCTCCTACGTCCGCGAGTGAGTGGGTGCTTTGAAAGCGGCGTCAAGACTACCGAGGACCCTCAAACTGTCGATAAAGATAAAGAAGGACCATAAGTCCATAAAAAAAGGGGAAGTGACCCCATAAATCCAAAAGAAAGACATTATGCCGGAATTCTGGGGCAATAGTTTAAGATAGTTGATGGCAGTTTGAGGGTCAAGTCACCTTCTCCTTCTCAGCAGGGATGCTTTCATGGGAAGCAATTGCACGCGCGACAGTCGAAACGCTGGCAGAAAAAAACAGTGTCTGCGTTGACTTGTGGGGAAGTCTGTTTGGTTGACGCGTCTTGGCTTTAGGGTTGACAATTTGGTACGGGACCTTTCGGGGGGCGCAGTCCTTTTTCGGGTTGACACTTCTCGCATCCTGGAAAAACAGAACACTTTTGCGATTGACTATTTACCCTGGGATTCAAATCACCATTAAAACAATGGGGGCTCACACAAACCACCATTGTTTACCTAAGGATTGTCATCATCCAAATTTGGTCAACCTTTCTTTGAATGGGGGTTGAAGCGCCGGGTTTGTTGTTGGGGAGCCTTTTTTAGTTGGGGTTCACATGGGCTTCGCTACTTCTTTTTGCGGCTCGGCGGCTTTCCGAAGGCGAAACGCCCGTGCCCAGTACTTGCATTGAAGCTGAGAATGGTCTTTCAACCTGCGCACCTAGCGTTTGCAAAGGGTTGAAAAAGGGTTCCGCTGAAGAAGCGGGCAGCGGCTGGTTGTTGTTGGCGTCGTGCTGCGCCTGTCTGCGTGTTCGCGTTGTGTTGACTTGTGGCGGCCTTCCAGTCGCACCCCAAGATGCCAACGTTGCCAATGTGAGGTGATGCTAAGGTGGCATCCGCAAACACGACTCCACTCGACTCCACTTCTTTTGGTTCGGCATTGCTTCAACCACGGCACCAACTTGTGACGTGCTAACCAACTTTGAGATCAAAGGAGCGGCTTTTTCCATGGTGGGCTCGCTTCACCGGATCTGTTTGCGGGTCCAAAGTTGGGACCCTCTCATGGTGTGGAGATAAGCTTTCTCTCGGAGGGTTTGCTTGACGCTGTTCGAGGTGGAGGGCTCGGCTCTCACGTCCCCGTCCGGCGACTGCACTTTGCGAAGCTTGCAGCCACAGCCATGAGCCTGATCGTGGTCCATGAGCTCATCATCAGGCTCCAACGCCAGGTCGCCGCGATCATCCAGTTGAGACTTGGCGCCGTCTGACATGTATGGCGTGGGCGTGGGCACGTCCTCAGCACAAGCGCGCTCGCGACAAGGTGTCTGAAAGTCCGCGTCCACAAGAGGCAGGGCTGGCTCAAAGTCTGGCTCGTCAACAGCAGCCACAGTGGGCAAGATCTTCATGAACCCCTTCTCCAAGTCCCATCTCAAAGAGCGATTGAGCATATGTTGATTCTTTCCAAGAAAATGGAGGACATGTGTCTTTCCCCTGAACACCTCAGACCTAAGCTTAAGGAACCAGAGATTCGAATGCACCTAAGGAAAGCCAAGGTGAAACCATTAGGTTTCCAGTTGCTTGAGGATATGGTTTCCTCACTGTGGAATCAGGGGATCTGGAAATGTCCATTTTTAAAAGGGGACGTATCCGCAAATGGAGGATTGGGCATCAAAGCTTACGCCCTGTAGGTGAAGGCTTGGACAGTCCTCTTGGCCCATGGCCAAACATAACAACAAATCAGCCTCCCTCTAATTGGTGGTTCGGGGATTTGAACCCCTGGTTATTGTAGAGGGTACCCTCCTTCACCGCCCAACCACCAATCCAAGCCACCAATTAGAGGGAAGCTGAATATAGCCCGAGCTACCGGGGAGAGAGAGGATGCATCTAAGTTTCCATACGAAATGACTGGTACGACCGAAGCAACCGGTCGTTGTCTTTTGTTAAATTGGTGTGGCTCAACAAGAATATACCGATATACCAACATGGCACCTTGGCGATTGGAACACCGAAGAATAAACCTGCATTTCCGCGTGCCCAAATAACAGCCGTTTTCCCAGCGAAGCTTACTGCCCAGTGATAGATTCCCTTCAAAACAGGGGAAAACAAGACCAAACAGCATGAAACATGTCCTTCAGCCTTGCTTGGTTGACGTTGGAAGGGGAGCAACAACTTCAACTTTAGCAATTAAGTGGATTTGGATGTCAACCACTAAACCACCATAAGCAAATATGACCATGCTTGGACGAATTCAGCAAATGGAAGTTGGCGAGCGATCTCAACTTCCCCACGACCGACTGTGCTCCGAGTCCAAGGATTCGGGGCTGCCAGATGGGCTGGAGCTGCTGGAGCTCAGAGACCTCAAGAGTAAGAACCGATCCCCCCCCTGCTGTTGTGGGTGAGTCTTTTTTTGGTCTGTTTTTGGTGGAAGATCCTGCTGCTCGTTTTGGGTATTTTAAATGGAATGGCCAAGATCTGGTTGCAGGCTTCTATCCTCCCGCCATGTTCGACCTCCGGGCGGGCCCTTGGCACCTAACATGCGTAACATGGATGGCATATTCACGAGCATCGGATAGCACCACCTCTGGGGTAGGAACCCCTTGATGTCCAACGCCTGCCGGCACCAGGGTTTACAAAGGAAACAGGTCAGGGTACTTGGTTACACTGGCAAATGGTTTGGTCCGAGGACCAATGGCAAGCGGAAGCCGCGGCGACGGGAACACAAGCATTGTTAGTTGGCACGGGATTGACTATCCGAGGAAAGCAACTTGATCCCAACTTCCGGATGAAAGGGAAGAAACCAACCCAACACTGAACACCCCACGCAAAACAAGAATCATCAAGCCGACTTTCCTTGGGTGCCACGGTCTGAGGTTCCGGGCGACAGGAAACGCATGTTCAGGTATGTCATGCCCTGAAAACACAGAACTTGTGAACCACCACTTTTTCAAGCGAACATTTACCGCCGTTCTTGGCTATTGATGGCTTTTCAAGCCAATCCCCACACCTCCACAGCCCCAAAGGTGCCAAACTGCCAGGGACTTGGGATTCGATTCGAGTCCCAGGCGGGCTGCCGAGCCGTCGCCTGAGGGCTGGCAGCCGAAGCTTCTCCATGGGTCTGCTTGGGCCGTTGAAAGCGCCCGACCAGCGACCAGGTTGGCTTTCGGGAGTGAAGCTATAGGTCTACTTGTGATCAATGGGCAATGGAGCATTGAAGATTAAAACAGTAGTTTGACAACCTGAAGAATCTTATTTTGGGGTAGAAGACGTGTACATCCCGTAACCAGGCCGTAAGCAACACGGAATAGAAACAAAAGGGGTGGTCAGCACTGCAAAATGCATGGCCCCGGTGCTAAACCAAAGATGTTTGCTTTGAGTTGAGGGATAGCCATGGACTTCTGCATGTCCGGCTTCAAGTCATACCTTCATGGTGGAACATGATCGTTTGACCCAGAAGCTGAGCTCGTTCCTGGACATACTTTGTGTGGTTCTCACTTCCAGAGATTGGCCAAACGCTTGCCACTAATGGTCCAGACTCCAAAAAGCGTGAAGTTCCAGGGACTCAATGTGTCAAGAAGTGAGTGTCTCTTTGCCAGCGCCGAACCCCCACGGCGAACTGCCTTGAGCCACGTTCTCGGAAGGCGAGGCTGTGAGCACGGGACGACTTTGACACCGTTTTTGGGCAAGCGGTTTCAGGCTCTTCCAAAAAAAAAACGAAACAGGGACAAGATACCCGCAGGTCTGGGCCAAAAATGAAAGAAACAGGGCACCACTGAATCATGCACCCCTCCCCCCCACACAGTGAACGGGGGTCCGGTCTTGGTGACAGCTGCTGTAAGCTGTCGTCATTTCTTGTCGGGAACTCAGGCGCAAGAAGAGCCTGACGTTGATAAGCACCAGCTTTTTCTGTGGACACTGGGAAGCACAGGGTGGAAGGCGAATCGGCCCAGGTGTCTACACCTTCCGTTGCCTCACCCCCGAGAGTGGATGGCCCAAAACACGTCCCGGAACCTTTTGTTTACAACCAAAATCGTCTTCCACAAAAGTATAAAGTGCATGACCTCAGGGAGTGAGTTGCTTTTCGTTTAGCACTATATTGCATATCGCGCACTCACAGGCTCACAGAAATTGTCCTTTTCACTTCTCTTCAACCCACTCGAAGAGACCCTCAAAAGAGACCGACTTCTCTCACGAGTGGGAAGGTTCCCTGCGCCCTGCGCCCGTGAGTTGAGGTCCGGAGAATCCACCATTGCCTGTCCTTTAGGAAAATCACGATGCCTTTGCCTCATGGAGGGAACCTACAGAATGGATACGGATGGATACGGGTCACCGGTCTGTCAGGAAAGGTCGCTGTCAACTTGTTTGAGGGTACCCCCAAATTGGCGGATGTCCTTTCGGATGTCCTTTCGGATGTCCTTTCGGTTCGCTAAAAGAAGCAACAAAAAACAGGGATGCATAGGGATGCCCTCAAAAACAAGAAACACACCCATACCTTCCCTCAGATTTCCAGACAATAACACCAGCCCAAAATGGGGGGCGGGGGGGCGGTTTAATGCCTGCACCCACCAGCCCGGGACGAACAGACCAACCCACCACCATAACTCAGTCCTGATACAAAACGCCAAGGAAGGCCAACAGAAAGCCTTTCGCTAGTTGCCGTGCTTCTGATGTATACCCCCTGCAAACACCCAATAGAGTAGCCTGTGAGAGGCAATCTGAAATCAGGCCAGCAGCACTTCAGCCGCAAGCAAGGATGCTTCCACTGCAGGTCCTGCCACTTCCACCGCGCCAATCCGTGCGCGCTGTGATCGGTGGAATCGCTCGCCATAAAATGGCCAGAGTTCAGCTTCCCGCTACTTCGTGGTTTGGAGCGGTGGTTTCCCATTTACAGACTAGAAACCAAGGCTTCAACTCCAAATCCAGTCCACTCAAGGGGAAGAAGTTGTATTTGAGGCTTGAGGTGTGCGTATTTTGTGACAACCCTTTCATGTTGAAGTTTTTGGAATCCAAAGGGAAGCCATCTTAATCCAAATCGCTGGCCACCGTACTTGCACGCCTCGAAGGGGTACTGGGTCTTCACCGCCTCGATTTCGCGGCCGAACTTCTCCTTGAGGCCTGCAAAGGCAGGCGTCGCCTTTTTCTCACCGAAAAAACCACCCGACCAACCAGAAGAACCCATCTGGACTTAGAAGCAGCCCAAAAGATGATATTCAAATACAAGAATTGGTTGCTGTTGACCCCTCTGCCAAAAGTGAATCACTTTTTGTGGGTCCAATGGAAGAGCCTCAATTTCTCAAAATGCTCAAGTCCCAAGATCCAACCAAATAGCCAAAACGAGGACTTTCCAGACACTGCAAAACGCGTTCTGTGTGCCCGCTGAGCCTAGCAAAGATCCGGGACTGGTGTTGCCATAGCGGACCTCTAAAAGTAGCCGCAGGAGCAGATCAACCGCCCAGCCTTTGAAGATGTGATTGAACAAGCCGTCGATCACTTCCAGGACCTGCAAAGTCAATTGCAGCAACACATTCAGCATATTCAGCACTGTGAGGCGTGGAACGTTCAGAATCACTAAAAACAGGAGCCCTGAATCATGACTAGGGTGAGAATGTCGGGGGTGACGGAATTCCAATTTGATTATTATTTTCCTGTAAAAACCGACCCACCCAACAAGCTGGCTCAATGTACACCCGAACAGGGGCCCCCCTCAAATGGACATGGACTAGGCGGCATGAGTAGGTCAGGTCAAACACAACTGCCAGGGAGACGTGGGTCATGGGGGCGGCCCTCGAACCTCATTCAAAAAACCGGTGGGAGCGGGTGGCAACGCCTGGCGAGCATGCTTTTTGGCGCAAAGTAAGGGATGTGGCAGCAAGACTTTGCGAAGATTCACGTGAAATCCAGCGGAAAACTTCTGGCTCCAGTTAGTTGATGAGCGGGGGGGAGGTGCAACAAGCTTGTTGTCTTCGGGGTTTGTTCCTTATGCTGGCCCGGAAAGGCTTGCTACCAGCTATCAGCTCAAGCCAACTGACCTAATCCAATCGCTTCGATGCTTGTCAGGAGCAATCGTCCAGCTTGGCTTCTCGGGTTGTCGCATGTCACCGGAGTCGCCACCCACAAAGAGAACCTTCCTTGCCCCGCGGTTCTCGCAGCACCGGGTTTGCTAGCATGGACCAAAAGATGCGCGCCGTCAGAGGCGAGCCTATAGGCACTCAAAAAGTTTGGTAGTTACCATGTCAAATGAGCTTGTGTCTTTTGAGGGAACCCTGCTCACCTTGGTTGGAAAACAAACCAAACAACCAAACCACTATTTTGGAGGTCAAATAAGTCGCATACCTAAATCGCACCAAGTTAGTTTCGGAGCCACTTCACACGCAATCCTCAGGCTTGGTAGCCTCAGTGTTCTCAAGCTATCTCCCCACTTGTTGCTTGTTCAGTTTCAGCTATGATATGCTAAGCCCCTTCCCCACCTCAGTGCCAAAGATATTAACGTCGGGAAACTGATTAAGTTGAGGAAGTTGATAAGGAACCGGTCACCCTTACACCCTAGGTTGTTTGAACAAGCTGCTGTTGATTCCATAAGCGTATGGGTCCATCTGTTTATTAAACGTGATACGCACGGCTCAATGAGGAAATTGCTTCAAGGGAATCAAGTCCATTCGCCCCAGGCGTTTTTTTCAATCTATTGCCAACAATCAACTTGCAATCCATTGCCAACAATGGCAGTCGACTCACTGACCCCTTGGCCGTTTTTTGAGCTATGAAAGCCTCGAGCCTCTGAGACCTGGGACCAGCCAAACCACGTCACCCACTTCCTCCGCGGAGCGTTTTTCGCGCTTCAGCGCCTCGTGGTAGTGGTCCTTGAAGGTCATCTCCAAGTCCAGTCCCGTGAACTCCGTCATGTGCCTGGCCGAGAGCTCAGGGATCGAGGCATCGAGCCTTCAGCCACGTCGGGGAGTTTTGTTTGGCTCGACAGTGAACGAGCCCAAAATGGCGGGTGTTCTGTTGGTTTACCTAGCCCACAACAAAACGGGGCCTCGGAAAGGAACCGCCACCATACCTTCTCAGAATCTCCCAGACAAGAGCCACTGTGGTGGCGGTTTTGTTCGGCACTGCTCGCCGAGGGCACCGAGCCTCAAAGAAAGACGAGCCACGCTCAAATTTGGATATCAGTTGATTGGGGAATCTCGGGTGATTCTTTTTATGTCCACCAAGCACTTTCAGGTTGTTCCGTGCTACAATTCATAGCCAAATGGGCGTGTCTGTCCCTGAGGCCTTTTGGGGACCAGCACTTTTAGGTTGTTCCTGGTACAAGTCATGGCCAGTTTGGGCGTGGTGTCCACTTAAAAAGAGACACGCAAATTCGGCAAGCCCTGTTAGACCATGGCGGGTGACTAAACACGTCTCCGGGTCCCAAACACGGCAGCCACTTGGGTCGGAGATTCCTGCAACGTGCAGCCACATAGCCCGGGCAAACCCGACATGGTGCCCTCAAGAAAGCATCGTGTTGCGCCCAACTCAAACTGGTGTCTTGAAAAACTAAATGGCCCTGATTATGAAACAACCAGGCCAAGGTGTCAACCAGGGCCATCTATTTTCCACAAAACAGGCTCGCCAATACTTGTGAGAGACTCGTGCAGCTAGCACAAATTCAATTTGGGCCAAACACATTCAACCGCTGAAGCGGTTCGCATGGGAACTGGGAGAAAACATGTAAGCCTTTAAGCTCTTTGGCAGAAGTCAAGTGAAGTTGCAGCAGTGTGCCCAACGTTGTTTTTGGGCTGCGGAACCCGCAAAAAAGAGTCCCCAGCACCAGATTCCTCCACAATAGGTGACGAAAAACAACAAAACCACTGCAAACTAAACCGCTGGCAAACCAAACTGACATTTCCACTGGCCACGGCAAACTGAAGATTGAAAAAGAAACCACGAGCAATCCTCCACAAAGAAAAGCCGCTCGGTTAAACCTTTACCTGACATTTCCAGCGGTGGTCACCCAGGTGGTCACTCCAAAGAAGCCGATGGCCAAGCCCAGACCTCCGGCCCCGCGTCCCAGCCGGCCGGTGTGTGAAGGACTTCTCTGAGCGAAAGATGGGGCCCACCTCGAAGACCCGAGGCCTCGGGTGAAGCGAACGGGGAGGGGTTGGTTTCAAGACCTGGCAAATTTGGTTCAGGCCTCAGGGAAGAAAATTAAAGACATATGTCCAGTAGTGAGAATTCCTATTTTAAAAAAAAAGGACAGAAAGGCGGCAGGTGTCTAGGTCCTGGAGAGGTTAGAATAAGGGTGCCATCTTTTTGTGCAGTCGATTTTAGTAGGAGAACCCTCCCCCAAGAAAGGGTAAAAGGGCACTATTGGGGGACCTAGTTTGTTTTTTTTCTTCGGAAGAATGATGCCCTCTCTTGAACCCATAGGTGTCCTTTTTGGGCGGAACAAAATTGATGCCCAAACATGTTTCAACCAAAGCAAAAGGGAGGCTCTTGATGGTGGCTTCGCCAGCATGGTTTCCACCAGACGCTTCAGGGACAAAAGCCAAAGGAATCCGGGTCCGGGACCAAATTGGGACCTGACCCTGACAGGGATTCCAGGTACCCTTCTTTTTTGTGCCATGTCAGTGGGAGGGAAGGTTTTTCGCTCTGTTCCAGCCAATTTGCCCAGGTTGCGATGTTGCAAGAGCAGATTGCCACTCTCATAGCTTGCGTGTTGTCCTGCCATGTACAAAGCCCGAGGGCAACCTCGGGTCGACGACGATGAACTGAATCTAGTAGGAAATGGCAAATAAAAATATAGCTTCCCTCCATTTGGTGCTTTGGAGCCAGCTGACCAACCACAAGCCACGAGTGCACAGTCGGCCGTAGATGGCGGAATCAATCCGCTTGACGTGGGAAACATCGGATGCTAAACTTCTGTCTCGAATTGACCTTCCCATACCGTATATCTGGGCCATTGGTCCGTGCTGAAAAAAAAACTAACATGTACCCTCCCACCAGCTAACATGGGAGTGCACAGACCCCTGTAGAAAGACTGCTTTCCTCTTGGAAAGGGCCGTCATGGGCCGTTTTGCAGTTCCATGCTAGTTGGTGGGAGGGTACTTAAGACATGGCCAGACATGGCCCAAAAAAAGGAAAAGATCACATCCCCCCAGGCAGGAAGCTTCACTTCGGGCCGCAGTTTGCAGTTTTCCCAGCCCCACGGGCGCGCACAACAAAACCCGGTCCAGCGAAGGAACAAAGGCCACAAACACACGTTTTGTGCTGCTGATTTAAGCCAGGAGAACACCACCCAAACACCAAAACCGCACCACACAACTGGGACTCATATACACGCCCATGCAATTTTCGGCACCTAAGTTGCCCCCGCACTGATCAACAGAAAAGCACTTGCCAGATATCGTGCCACCTTTTACCATGCACCGAACACGGATTACACTTCCCTTGAAAGCCGCCAAAACAAACCCGGCGAAAAGTCGCTTCAAAAAGGGACCCGTAGGCGTCAAATGCACAAAGCAAAGCTCGGCTGACGGAGCCAGAATCTAAAAACCGAGTTTAAATACTTCCATTTGCTTAAGCCCCCTGGAAACAAAACACATTTCCAGTAGTGATAGATTCCCTTTAAAACCAACCGGGCAAAATAATGAAAAACATATTTTTCAGCAACTGCAACAATATCATGATAAAACCCTTTTCCAAAAAAAGGGGCAAAAGGGCACCACTTGGCAACAAAAGTATTGGCTTAGCCAGGACCCCGGCATATCCGTCATCAAGGCCATCTGCTTGTAAAGCTGCGGGGACTGTGCCAAGTAGGCGTTGCCCTAGCCGGGACGTGAGAACCAACACCCAGCATGCGACCCAAACTGCGCATGAAAGGCTCGACCACATGGGAGGGGGGGCCCTAGAGTGCGTTGCTTTTTTCAATGCCCTTTGTCTGAACCTCCAAGATGTTCCAGGGAAACAACACATTTACCAACCCCAAATGTGGGGATTCCGTGTAAAATGAGCCATGCCATAGCCCCGAATGCGAGGTCGCCATCGTTTTTTCCATGTTGCACGCTTCCCTAACTCCCTTTCTCAGTGAGTGGCCCAACAACAGTTTAAACTTCTTGTATGCCTCCAAATAGGCTTCCCCCTAAAAAATATATATATCAACACTAAACGCAGGAAGGGAGCGAATGGCAAGGAATGATTCGCTGCATGTGAGCAAATCTATCCAACGACTCACCGAAAGGCTGATACTTGCAGGCGAGGACTCAGGTGAGCCATGGGAAGGCCAGCTGATGGATGGACGAAATCCATTTTTCCCACCTAAGAAACCCAACGGAATGATTTTCGATTGCAATTACCAACAAGCAATGGCTTCAACCATGGTTTCAAAGTTGTGAAGGATTTCGTCCATCCACAGTATGGCCCATGGAGCTGTTGCCCCTTTTCCTATGGCTCCGAGGCTGACTTCCAGCGTACCTTCAAAGGCCCTGCTAGAAGGCAAGGTGCAGCAAGCAAGCCACAGTTGACAACAACACATTGTGTATCATTGTTCTGCGCAATCATTCATGCATTATTTTGGCTGGTTGGATTGGTGTGTCCCCAGGAGAAAAAAAAAACAATTCAACCAAAGTCGGCCACGCTGAGAGCTGTGGCTCGAGGTCTCTCCCCGCTTGCCGACGCCTCAAAGTAGTCCACGCGGAACACGTCGGCCTGAGTGCTACGCGCTGAAGCTGGCTGATGAGCGCAGCAAACTGCACGCTAAGAACATGATGCCAGCACCCCTCGACAACTGGGGGTTGACTTGGATAGAAACATGGCGTCAGCCAGCAGCACCCCCGAGCTTTTCTGCTTTTTCAAACATGTCACAAATCCCAAGTACCGTCCAAAAAGCAGTTGGGTGCTGCTGCTGCGTCTGCCATTCTTCTTCCAGTGCCTTTTTGCTTGGGACCTTGCAAAGGGAAACCACCGGGAAACCACCCGAAAAAATGAGCCGCCCATGTCAAAGCGAGGACGGAGACCTTTGAGTCTCCCCAATCCGGGTGTTCCTTGTTTAGCTCCCTTTCATCGGCTGATGGGTCCAAGCAAGGTCTCCTGGAAGACAAAGTTCCAATTTCGCATATTGCGTAGATCCCTGGCCAAAAAGGGTACTCTCAAACCAAGACACACTAAAATTTGAGGAATCTCCCGGAACGGACACCTGCAGAGTGCCCGTTCGGCAAGAAACCTAGCGATGAAGGGCTCTCAAACACAGCGAAACAACAAAACACCACACAAAATATCCCAGCCTTGGCATACCAATATATACTCGTATATAGTTATTCATTTATGTATTTATAAATATGCATATATATATATAACATATATATATATATTCTGACAGCTCGGAATTTTCTACCCCATAACATCTTACCATTCGAGGAGACCCCAGCGGCAACAATCCAAACCACCACCCACCCCAACGTTTGGCCCGCCGGCGTCCTTTTTCTCGCACTTGCCGCCATGCGAAGAAGCACCAAGGCAGGCCCGAAAGCCGAAACAGGGGAAGAAAACACCATCCAGGTCCCCCTGCGCCTTAAGCAATCAAAGGGGGCACCTGCATAGTCTTGCCCTTCAATGAAATGGATCGAGTCACTTGGGAGCTCACTAGTAGTCGCTGGTGGGCCCCCCGGAGACATCTATGTCTTGTCCTCTCCTATTCTTCGGTCGGCACGGTCGGCACGCCAGCAGGCGTGAAACTGAAGGAAGGGTTGCGGCCCATAAGGCCGCTTGTTAAATCTTTGGCTGGGTGGCTAAGTCATGTCCACGTTTCTCAAGACCTGAGCCACCCCCAGAATCAAGAACCAAGAATCCAGGTGGCGATTCTTAGGGCCTTCCCCGATTGAGGGACGGCCCCCTCCGGCAATTCGACCCCAGGCCGGCTGGCGCTACACTTCCCTCCGTCCCTTCCGTCGCTTCTTGTAGCGGCTGCGGTCTCTGTGGCTCTCCGGCTCCGCCTCCCGCTCCCTCAGCCAAAGACGCCGCGGTGAGGCGGCGAACAGAAAACCCAGGCGGACCGGGCGGTGGGGACTTCGCCTTCAGAGCGCAAAATGCATACCAGCACCCCCTAACTGCTTTTTGAACACTTCTTGGGATGTTGGACATGGGAAGAAGCGGTTGTGGGGGGCGTTGCGTGACGTCTGCTTAATATTCAGGGAGCAGGAAGGCTCGACCACAGCATGGGGCAGCACGATTTCATATTTCCAGGCCCAAGCATGCGTGAACATCGCAGCTCGCTGTTCGGAATTGCAGTACCCAAGAACGGAAAATTGTGTTTTAAGCACGGGAGACTCGGACAGCAAATGCAACCTTACAAGGCCAAGGGCCAAAGAAAAACGTCAGAGAGGCAGAACAAAAATTGAAGCGTTGGGCTGGCCAAAAGTAAGTGAAGCACCTGGCCGAAAATCGCCTGATTGCCCACGGCCGGTGGCTAGCAGCAAACCAAGTTGCAGTGTGGCATGTTGGTTCAGCATTGCTGCAAGCAGTTTTTTCTTTCTGCATAGGAAGGGTTCTTATGACCCATCATCCCCAGTCGCCCTCAAAGTCCTCGTCGTCCGCGTCAGCTCCATCATCCTCCCCCCATCATCATCATCATCGGCATCATCATAATCATCATGAACGCCACCATTATAGTCAGCAGCAGCATCAGCAGCATCAATTATCAACATCAGCATCAGCACCAGCACCAGCACCAGCACCAGCACCAGCATCAGCATCAGCATCAGCATCAGCATCATCATCATCATCATCATCATCATCATCATCATCATCATCATCATCATCATCATCATCATCATCATCATCCTCATCCTCATCCTCATCCTCATCCTCATCCTCATCCTCATCCTCATCCTCATCATCATCATCATCATAAGCATCATCATCATCACCATCGCGACCACCGTGCACACCTGACCTGTTAACGTCATGTGCTCAAGCAGAAACGCCAAACATCAAAAGTCAGCATTCCATGTGCACCTGTCCAGGTAGCACTGCCTAGAGGTGCTACTGCCAAATGAACCCTCCGAAGTAAGCCAGCCAGCCAGCAAGCAAGAACCGTGCACCTCAAGCATCTTGGGAAGCTGATTCAACCACCTGAAACAAAACACCAGAGATGCCAAGCAATAGCCAGCATCAAGAACCATCCAACGCTTTGCCTCTTACCGCTTACATTCACCAAACAAAAATCGCACGTGGAAATCCCCACCCAGCCGGCCGACCACTATTCAAACGTGCCCCCGGTTTGAGTCGGTGTGAACCACAATTGCCCGAGTAAAACGGATGCAGCAACCCAAGTTGCAACCGTAAAAATGTCGGGATTTCTCGCTTCAACCTCGGTTCTCCCCCCAAGCAAGCAACTGTTGATTCCGGCCCATACCTCAACCCCATGCAACAGAACTTCAAAAACCCAGTGCCGGGCTCCATAGAACACCAAACCACATGTAAAGACTGCTTTCGCAGATGCCATCGCACCCATTCCTCCAATTGCTTAAGTCCCTGAAAAAAAACCTATTCTGCTTCCCTTTCAAACCAACCGGGGACGACAATTAAATAAATATGTATATATATATATTCTTACCCCTTACAACTCCAAGCCCTGGGGAAGTTAATCTTTTACAGACGTATAGCCCATGTTACCCAAAAAGTTGAAAAGTTGTGTTTTTAAGAGGTAAGTATTCATTTCAGCAAATGGAAGCCTTCACCCCGGGCCTTCTGCGCTGCCCCTTCACCTTGGCCGAGTTCTCCGGCACCGCAGACATGCGCCCGGAGGCTCTCATCTTCCGCTCCGCCCAGCGGCGGCCGGACTCCTTGAAGGACTGCTTCCTCGCGCGGAGCCAGGCAAAGAACGGGCCGTGTTTTTTTTTTGAGGTGGCCAAAAACTGCGCAAGTTGGGAAGTGACGACCTGAACCCTCACACTACCCTCACATTACCAAACAAAAAAGATAATTCACCCCATTATTTTGGGGTGATATGGGGTGATCACCCACTTTCAAGGGTATTCTGAGGGCCCAAAACAAATATGCCCCGCAGCCAGCTTGGGTCTCTGCTCCAGCTCCAGGAGAGCACGAAGGAGGTTCAACTTATCAGCTTCCCTCCAATTGGTGGTTTGGATTGGTGGTTTCGGGATTGGAACCCCTGGTTCTTGCCGAGGGCAAATGGGAAGCCTCCCCCTAACCACTAAACCACCGGCCAACATAGACAGAATCTAGGGAAGCCACATGTAGTTTCTACTGCAGATGGATCACCGCATGGCCCCATGAGATCCAAAACTCACCTGCCCAAAGGACCCAGAAATAAGAAGTTAACCTTTTGGGGCCATGACTACAACTAAACCAAAAGGTGAAAAGGGTCGGCTTTGGGCAACCGAGAAAAGCGGTGTGTCACCTGAACAGGGACCGAAGAGGGGAACCCCAGCCACGCCCCTCACACTACATCTGCCCAAAGTCTTCTTCTTCTTCGGCTTCCGGATGTCAACGTCGAGGTTGAATGTCTCCGGGTCTAAGCTTTCCTGGGAGAGCAGTTGCGCTCGGTCCCGATGGAACCTTTGGCTTGAAATAGGAACCCCCAAAATGCTCCTTGGCAGAAGAACGAAGGATGGCAAACGGCGGCCGTCTGCTCTTCTCAGCCGAAACTTCATCTTTGCAAAAAACAAGTGTATCTTCTTGTGAGGGCACCCGCGATGTTTGGTGGCTTTTAAGGGGAAACCACAACAAAAAACACCACTTTGGGGGGTCCCCCAGAAAGAGACATTCTGTTGGGGACATGTCAAGGGGATGTTTTACCGCCGTGACCTTGACAGTACAAGCCACTAACATCTGCACTGATACTGTCTATTTCCAGGTAAGCACGAGATTTCGCAGAATCAAGACATCCCTTGAGGGATCTTAGTCTGGCTGCCCGAGCTCGCTCTATCGCCCGAAAGCCTCCAAAATGGTTGGTCAGAGTCAATCTCAGTAACAAAACTCGGAATGTGACAAAACATGGGACGTCAGCAGGCAAAGGATGTCATAATATGTTGAGGGTGCAAAGCTGGGTGGCCTCAAAATGGGGGGTTGGGGAGAAGTCCGCAAAGTTGTGGGACATCCATGCCAGTGGCCACGGGGAAAAGTGGGCCATTGTTGCTTGTTGTCCGCTGTTGGCTGTGTTGTCGTTGGCCGTGTTGGCTGCTGGGCACTTTGTTGTTGCTTGCAGGGATGCTTGCAGGGATGCTGGTTGTTGTTATGGTTGGCAGTGGAACTCTTTTCTCAACCAACCAACCAACCAACCAACCAACCAACCAACCCACCCACCCACCCACCAACCAACCAACCAACCAACCCACCAACCAGGGGACCAGCCCTAGTAAGGAAAAACAGCCCTAGGAAAAGAAAAAAAGCACCGGATCCAGCCCCCTCCAAAAAGTTCAAAGGCCCCGCCCGCCATGCGCCTAAACAGCACCCAATTGGCGCAGTTCGACCACGGGCCGAAGCGGCGTACTCCTCGAAGGGTTTCTCCTCGAAGGACATCTTCCTGGCCCATTTGGTGCGGCCTTCCTCGCTGGACAGCTCCTGAGACATGTGGCTGTGGTGGTCAAAACCGTTTTGGGATCCCATTTTGGAGGTTTTCGGTGCACCACCCATTTTAGAACCTATTTTAGTGGTTGATTTGGGATGTTCATTGGGGGCTAACCGATTTGGATTTTGACCCATGGCCATGTATCTCAACGAATCTGCTCTCAGCTTAGTGCAGGGTACAACGCCTTGAAATTGGCGTGGATGTTTAGCAACAAAAATCGGAGCACCAGTATATGCTATAGGCTTCCTCTCGGCTTCCCTGATGCCTAAATGTCAAAGACTGTCCACATTTTCGAGACACACTCATGCCGGTTACCCTTCCAGCACTCCACTTTTTGCGGATCGAGCCTGCTTTGGGAGACTGTTTTGTTGGGGGCAAAACTTGTTAGGCCTTTGACAAACGAAATGGGGAAATCCTAAAAGGTTCCCAGGTCAGCTTTCTCAACCGAACTCGGGGAGTCACTTGAGAACATACTATGTGGGTATGTGTCAAAATACGCGAGACCCTTGACAGCAGCTTTCCCGAATTTCAGCCTCCCCTCAACATCCAACCACACAGAAAGAAACACCTTCAAGGCAACATGCTGTGGATCCCAGGCAAGGCCGTGTAGTAACCAGCGAATGTCCTTTGAGTGATTGAAGGGTAATTCCCTTGATTCATGTAGTATATATCATGGATCCACTGGGACACACAAATGAGCACTTGCCCTATCTTGCCCTGGCTCCCACGAACATAGCACCTTTCGGAGTACCTGATTATCTTTCACAGGGCCCCTCTGGAGGTTCCATGTTGGTGGGCGGGAGGGTATGTGATTCCATGCTTTGGAGTCGGGATGTCCTCTGAGGCCCAAAGAAGTTGCCGAAAGCGCGCGGCATCGCCGCTTTCCACGTCTGGGTGCTGCTCCTGAAACCGATCCGAGGGCGTCGCCTTGGGATCCATAGGACTTGCAATCGATTCAATACATCGAACCCAGGAAAGTCTGGTGTGTAAGCATGTGTAAAACCCAGCTCCCTTTGCGGGCACCAAAAGGCTGGTGGTTTAAACCAAGTGAGCCCAACTCTGCCCTGAAAATTGTGCAGAACGGGAAGGTGATATGGATCTGACAGGTGCAGAATTGGTCCGCTGCCATCCGACAAGGGCTACTCATAAAACTAAACATGTGCTAGTCTCCGAAAAAAATCCATGGGAAAAACCCATAAGCATCAGGAAGGAATCAACACCAAATGCCTTCCCGAAGCTTTTGTCTTTGGGGACTTTGGGGACTTTGGGGGGGATGGCTGGAAGTGACAATCTGAAAGATGTCAATCATTCCCGTGCGGCAATTTGCTTGCAGATTGCTTGTTGTGCGGCGCGTGATGAGAAAAATATGGTAGTACTGTGGATGGACGAAATCCCGCACCAAATGCAACCATCGCTCTGCACCGATCAAATCACATAGTGCTGCGACACTCGCCCAAAATACAACAAGGGTGCGTGCACCAAACCACCTTGATGCAGGGTCAACTAACAGAAACACAAAGTCAAACATAACTCCCATCCAAAAGTAAACAGCCAACAATTGCCCCATGGTTTTATCATCAAAGTCACCCCCCCTCCCCCCCCCTTGAGTGGGAGGCTCAAGGGAAATCCTCCCCCCCTTTCCGACTTTGAACCCCCCCCCCCCCCCCCCAGAACAGACAATATAATGACTCCAGAACAAACATCGAAAACAACATGACTGAACAACAAGCAAACGCAGTGGATCCATCTACCTGTAGAGTAGGTAACCAAGGGAACCACCCGATATATAGAAACCAACAGAAACATAGCGAAGGCTTGCCTACATTTGGGCCAAACGCCTATCCACTGGGGGTGTCTTTGAGGGCACCCTTTTGGTGTGGTTAGACGTGAGCCCGAACTTCGAAACACCGAATTCCAGGGTCCCCCGTATTTTGACACATCGGAATTGGGTTCCCACCCCGAACCAAAGTTTCAGCCGCCCCAGTTCCGCGCCTTTGCCAAGCGCCGGAAGGCAGAGCGGATCTCCTCCTTGCCCGCAGTGGTCTGGAGCCCCAGAACCTGGCGGAAGCTCGCGTACGCGCTCATTTGCGCGCACGCGAAGGGCGAACGTGGGTTGCAATGGAGGTCTCCGGCAGCCTCGCGCATTTGGCCCAAGCTAGCCAGCTGCGCAGGAAGCGGCGGCAAAATCTCTGTTTGAGGAAACAAAGAGCAGGGGGCTTCTTTTCGATGGGAACCCAAGACAAACCCATACCCGGAGTTTCTTTGCATGACCCCCAAAACATGGGGGACACTACTCAACAGAAAAAGGTACCTTCACCATTCTCTTCAGGGATGCTTCTCTGCCAAAAAATACGGCACCCCCTTGGGGATTACGGGAGAACACTGCGCCCGGCTGGCGGAGGAACTGGAGACTCCAGGTATCACTTGAGCAAATTCCGCCAAGAAGCATAAACCTTTTGTATGCCACCATTGTGAAACCTATAAAAAAGTGACAAAGGTCCGACGAACTCAGGAAGTGAGATTGCCTGGACCCTCAACACTCCAACTGAAAGATTGGTGATCACCCCGAAATGATGTTTGGAATTCATTCACCCCGGAAAAAATGCGATCACCCCCAAAAAAATGGGGTGAACTCATCCTTTCTTGGTGGTTTGGGGCTTCAGGTCGTCACTCTTCCGAAGGCAAGCCACGGCCAGTCCCACGTCCCTCGCCTTGAAGGGGTTGACGAAGCTCACGGAGCACAGCGCCAGCGCGCCCAAGCGCCTCTCTGCCGAACCGCCGGGAGTCATTGGGCATGGCAAAGCACTTTGGTTTTTGCAGCCTACGAACAATGAGCAGAACCGAAGAACCCCCCCAAAAAGGAAAAAAAAAGAAGAAGAGAAAAACAGATGCCAGCGACAGTGAAGTAAGCCCCGGGCAGCAGCCCCCCAACAGCTGCTTGTTGGTTCCGTCCTTGGGATTTTGGGATTTTGGAAAAAGTTGGGAGGTGCTGGTGGGTGATTTTGATTAGGACCATGGTATCTCGTTTGACCACTTTTGGAGGGTTTCCCACCCTCCTATCTTAGCACCTCATAGGCCCATAGGCCGCGGTTTGCAGCTCCTGGGGTTCTCACAGCTCCGTCTTGTCCGTGATGTTTTAGGGTCGAGACATTCGAGCCTTCAATTTCGACCCTAGAATCGGCAAGTTGATCACCAAAAGGAAAAACCAAGCAACATGTCCCTGATTTTCCACCCTACAAGCATTGTTTCAATCGTCGAGGGTGGAATTCTGGAATCGCCTGGACCTCGTGGCAAATTTCACAGCGCGGTTGCTTATACTTCGGCTGGCTTGCTCCAAGCTGTCGCCTGCAATACTTCTGTGACGCGCACGTGAGGCAACTGCGTGCGCTTGCGCGATAAGCAACACGCCGGTGCTTCGCGCCAAGGGAACGGGCATTGCGTGTGTCAAGCTACAGCACCCCGGCGAAACGCTGCATGTGATTGTGCGCAATAGTGTTGACACGCACTCTTTTTCTTTGAGCGGATTGGGAAACCACAAAGTCTAAACTTGATTCATGATGTTTCATTGAAACACATGTCCTTCCAACAAAATGTGGGGTGTAGTACTTTGAGGGACCCCCGTTTTATGGATGTCGGTTTTCCTTTAGAGCCACCGCAGGAACCTCAAAAACACCCCGGGCCTCAGCCAGGCGTACATTTTGCATGGCGGCAGGGCATCTGGCAACTGCCACCGGTTCTGCGCGGAAGCGCCGGGGGGTTGGTGGGCTTCGTTGCTTCCATTGGTTCCATTGGCTTGTGGGGTCCAGTGCTCCTTGGGGACCTGTACTTTCTTCGTGTGTATTCCACTTGATGCCCTCAAACAGCACGGACAAGTTGCAGCCCCTGCACTCTGTTTGGCTCTGTTTCCTTCTTGCCTTCTACAACCACCATTAACCACCTTGGTTTACGGAGTTTCATCCTCTAATTTGGTTCAACCGCCATGTGCTGTTGGTTGCATGGTTGAACCCTAGCACTGTGCTCTTGTGCTTCAAAGCTGCGAGCCAATGAAGCCATCGACACCTTTGGAGCCTCACGTCTCGCTGAAATGGGCCAAGTGGCCTACGGGTGGCCTTCCCCCGGGCGATGGGAGCTGATGGAGCTGCAAGAAGCCCTTCGAAAGACCTGCCATGACCTGCCATTCAAAGGCCTGGGAGCTTCCCTTCCATTTGCTTAAGCTCCCTGGAGAAAAGAAAGTAGTTCCAGTAGTACTAGATTCCCTTTAGCACCAGAGCAAAATAAAACATATGTTCTGAAGTGAATCGAAGCATGTTAGTCTGAGGGAGTGTAGCATTTGGAGGGGCGTTTTCGTGGTGGTTCCTTTCCAAGACTGGAAAATTGCCTGGCCCACATTTGAGGCAGCACGCAAATGATGGGAAACGCATGCTGAAAACTTGGCGACCAAAATTGGTTCCCCCCCCCAAGAAGACAACGTAGGGCCGGGGTCATAACCCGTCATGTAATCTGAGTAACTGCTATGTGGCTGCAGCACGTGCGAGCAATCGACCCCGACCCACATGGCTACGGCTTCACGTCCCCAGCACTCGCACAAAAAGTTGTATTTAGGACCTGGGGATTTGTTGAATTTTAGCGACCCACCACAGGAATCCACTGAACGTGAACGTGATTTGCGTGTCGTTTTTGCGGAAGGATGTCGGGGTTTCCTGTTGGTTTCCCGTTAAAGCCTGCAAAAGAAAAGAGCCTGAAAACAAACACGCCCGTTTGGCCATGAATTTTAACAGGGAACAACCCGAAAGTGCTTGGTGGACACAAATACCCACCTTTTGCGATGTCCACAGGTTCCCCAATCAAACCAGACCCAAATTTGAGTGTGGCTCATCTTTGTTGGAGGCTCGGTACCCTTCTTGGTGAATGTTTCTTAGGGAGCAAAAGCACCACCACCAATCTGGAGGGTCCTTTACTCTCCCATCCTTTCCAAGGGACCCTTTGGTGGGTTCCATGTTGGTGGATGTAGAGGATTGAATCTCCAAACTGCAAACTATCCATCAAAACTGGGAATTCACCGATAACCCAATTTTCCGGGAACTTTTTGCGGGTCCAGGTACCCTCCCACCAACTAACCTGGAAGTGCACAGATTCCTGTAGAAAGACGACTTTCCTCTTGGATGTCGGATTTCCGGGCCCTTTTTGCACAAACCCTATGTTAGTTGATAGGGCATCCATTTTACGCCACCGAACGCCAACCAGCACCGAACCCCGGATCCACCGAGTGCCAGGCGCCACCCTCCGAGGCGCCGCCGATCAGCTTGGGAGTGTGGATCTCCTGCGAGTGGGGCTGAAGGGCTGAAGGGACAAAACAATCGACTCATAGTTTGCTTTTTTAGGTGCCGGATGTTGTCCACTTTCGACCTGGAGTCTTTTTTTGTGCTGACCCTACAAAAAGGCTTGGTTACCCAAAATCATGCCACCATTTTTAAAGGGTCGTGGAGAGTCTAGAGATGGAGGGGTTGATCAATATTCAATTTAGGGCCCCCATGGATTCTCCGAAAAAACTGAGAACGGAACTGGAAACAGCAAGGTCCAAAAGTCACCCTGCTCAGTTTCAGACAATAGGTCCCTCCAGTAGAGAGGTTAGAATAAGGGTACCAACTTTTTTCTGCAGTCTATTTTAGTAGGGGAACCCTGCCCCAAAAAAGGGTCAACGGGCACTACTGCGGGACCTAGAATATTCAATTTAGGGCCCCAAAATGACCATGGCTCACTTTTCCCATGCGAAAGCTATCTGTTGTGTGGTTTCCCTCATGGTCATCCCATGTAAAGGACCTTTGGATTAACCTTTTGTAATGATCCTTTCTGCCCTTGGGTGGGTGCGCATGGCCCTCTCGCAGGGGGGGGGGGAGGGGCATATCTCCGAAAAATGCTGAGAACGGAACTGGACGCGGCAATGTCCAAAAGTCGCCCTGCTCAGTTTCAGAAAAGCCTGGGCCCAGGACCCGAAACCAACACACCCACCACTCGAATTTCCAAAGCGAGTGGCTCGCCTCCACTGGTTGACCACTCGGAATTGGCTCACGAAACAGGAAGGCCAACGGCAATGAGAGTTGAGTGGACATGCGACTTTACGCAAGCTCAGCAAACAAGTCAGGTGACATTTCCGAGGGCCGATGCGAAAATGGTTACCCCTAAAGCACACAAAAACCGCGCTGCGAGGCCCAGGCTTCAGACATGTGAGGTCACAGAATCGCCGAGTTCTGACAAAACTGGCGGTCACAAAAGAAAAATTTGGGGTTGGCCATAGGCCCACGTCGCAATGTCTTGGGCTTTCTGTGAGGTTCCATGTTTGTGGATGGGAGGCGAATTTTACCAAAGTCGCCCCCATGGCCAAGGCAAAACCACCCGGCAGTTTCCGAATTCGACCCCCCAAGAAAAAGCGGTCATAATTGGTGACCCAAGCTGGAAAAAAAGAACAGCGCCGGGAGCTGACTTTCTCATCTTGCGTCGATCCTGAAAGCTGTTCTGCAGCAGAAACTCCCTGAAGAGCATGCACACCCCGGACCTCAGCGTGAACGCACAAAGCGTTCTGACCGCCAGCTACAGGAACAAATCTGCAAAAACAAACAATCGCTAATTCTCGGACTTTACTAACGATTCGGAGTTCTGGCTTCTTGGTTTACTTCCATTTGCTCAATCCCATGGAAACAAAACGGTTGTCATAGATTCCCTTTAAAAACAACAGGGAAAAAGAAAACATGGTCTGGAACGCACATGGAAGTTTCTACTGGCTTACCGTTGGTAACATGTTCACAACCCGAACTCGAGTTTAACAAAAACAAAAACACGAGGCAATTTGGCAAGCACCTTGGAGGGTCCTACAGTCCGAGCACCCAAATCTCCCGCTGCGCATGGGCACATTGGGCCCTGGTTGTGGAAATATCGCCCCTTTCTCGGCCACAACGAAAGGGCAGCTCACATGCCCCATGACTTGGTTGCGGTAACGACCCGCTGCAATAACTTTTTGGGGGTTTAGTGGAAAACCATTTCCCAAAAAGTTAAAGCCAAAGCCAAAGATCCAACCCAATAGAAGTCAAGATGACTATCACTTTGAATCTAGGGGCAGTGTGGATGCGCCGGATTCTGGATTCCACCTGACAGGTTGGTTCTCTACTAGTTCTGTTTCAGTACCCCAAGACTCCCGACTGGCCTGGCAAAGCTTTTGAGGGACCAGGAAAGCAACAACTTGTTCCAGCACTGCCAGTGTCACTGGCAGGACCTTGTTTTGGGTCCATCCATTTAGGGCCTTGAGCAGCAAGCGCAAAAGTCAGAATAACTCCCACAAAGGCCATGGTGCACAATTCGCGGACTCCAGCGTTCTGCGTTGAACATTTGGCATAAGTTCCCTCGTATCCTCACTGGACAGACTAATAAGTTTTGCACCTTCCACAGCAGGGATCCTTATATACACCTGAACATTGTGTCTATGGTGGTTTCCCCTGTATTTTGGGGTTGAAAAGGCAGCATGTTTCAAATGGGTGCAAAATGAATTTCTTTCAAGGAGCCCTGCACAGACTGATGCGCAGCCAGGCGGAGAATGACCGGGTCCCGTGCTGCATCCTGAAAATGGCCTGATTCGCCACCTCGGGGACAACAGGATCCGGATCACTGTGACAGACCCCTTCAAATGGGTCTCGCTACCTGGCTAGAATTGCCACAAGTTTAAGCTTTTTGTCTAAAAGTTCTGAACGAATGGATGGCCCAACAAAAAGAGTCAAAACTGTTTGCCACTAGAATGGTCCAGACCTAAAAGTGATTAAAATCTAAAACGGAACTCAGGAAGTAAAAGGTCGAGGCACAAATCCAAAAGGACACCTCTCTGAAAGCCATCTTCGGGGTCCCAATCAGTCTGAAATTTAAATCAACTGCGGGTCCTTTGTTCCATATCACATTGTGGTTTTCCGTTTAAGCCGCGACCTGACAGAATTCCTCAGACCTTCCGACCCAGGTGGGCACAGCATTTCCCAAGGCAAGAGGGGCCCAGAAAGCTTTCCGAAGCAGAAGGATCCACAAGGCAACTGCAAGTTTGCGCTGTGCACCTATCGAGCCCCTTGCCATCGTTTGCCACGATATTTTAGGCCGCGAATCATGATTCAATGCCGCCTGTCACGACTGAACGCGGAACATGGGGTCCAACTGAGCTCGCTATCATGGAGCAGGCCCGCTCTCTGCCCCCCAGCGAGAAAAGGACTCTCTGCTTTACCCAACAAAAGGCACTCGCCAACAGGGAAGGTTGACGTGGACAAACATGAATAGGATGCATGCAGGGCCCCAGTTTCACACAACCAACAAATGTGATAGCTTTGGTCCCTTGCTCAAACCAACAGGGAGAAGCCAAAAACAAACAGAAGCTTGAAGCAACCCCTACCAGAAATGGAAGTTCCAAAATCTCAGGGGGATCGGTAGGACGTGGTAGGACAATTGGTATGATAGGGAAATTAAAACTTATCCATACTAATGTTGACCCCGGATTAATAAAACATATCCCATTATTAGGGGGGTCGTCCCTCCAACAGTGGTCTGAACCCCCACTAAAGAGGGAACACCCCCCAATCAAAATCAACCAGTGGTTTATTCATCTGGGGTCAACATTACCCCAGTGAACCCCAGTACCAATTTCCCTGTGTTTGAAAGGGTGGCAAGCCAAAACCAGGTGCCGCTGGATCCACCTGGGTACCCTTTGGGTTCTTTTGAGGAACGCTGAAAATGAGTCGCCATCAGAACCCGGTATGAAAATG